GTATATTGTTTACAAATTCTATTTATGCGGAACTTATGTATATAAAATATTTTATTGAAATAGAACCGTATAAAGAATGGAAAATGAAAGATGTGCATAATAAATGCTTGCACTATTGCATGAAGACACGAGAGACAGAAAAAAGGTAATTTATTGAAAATAAACCAATACTTATTCGCCATTTCACCGCATAATCCAGATTTTAAACGCGAGGTTTCATTAACTCAAACTCAATAGAGAGATAATTGCAATTCTTTTTCTATCGTAACGGTGGAATGTATATTTCGATGTGTTAAGAATTTTAAAACAACATGTAATAAGTTCTACAATTATGTAAAATAGGAAAAAGAGCTGCTACAAAAAACCAGAACATCTGAAAATTATGATTGGGCAAACAAAATTATGATTGGAGCGATTATGAAGTCAAGTCAGAAGAGTAAAAATGAATTTAAAATGTATGTAATAAAATATTTTGGTAAGCAGGTAAGAATTTAGGTTATGTTTGGTTATTTAAATTTAGTTAAATCGTTAATTAATTTATTGTTTTTTTTTTTTTTTAGCTTTGTTACATTTGCACCCACAAAAAAAGAAAATTTTCATGTTAATCAAAATAGTTTAAAACAAATCAACATTGTGGCAAACGTTTTACCATTGGAATACCAATGATCAATTGCATTTTAGATTTTCATTTTTTTCTAAAATATAAAGCACCAATTAAATTAAAAATTTTTATGCCCGTTTATACTCTTTACTAATTTTAATTTTATAAAAAAAAGATTGACAGCATCTCTTGACAAAAAATAATTTTTCATACAACTATTGTTTTGTAACTGCTTTTAGTTCTGTTGCCATTCAATACTTTTAATAAAAAAAAACAAAGTTTCAATACTATTTCTTTTTGTTTCATTTATTCATCATTATTCACCAATTATTTCAATACTATTTCTTTTTAATTTCTTTGCTTTCTTAACGTAAATCAGGTCACTTTTTCTCTGTTAGTTTATACATTAATTATCTCTGTTCTCTGTTCTCTGTTAGCTTATACATTAACTTGTTAATGTATAAACTTACAGAGAAAAAATGACTTGTTTTCCATCATTAAAATAACTGTTTTTTGCAATCTTGACTTTCGGATTCAGTTACTGGATGTCAGCTGTGATATTAAGCAGCCGTGGCGCAGTGGTAGCACAATTGCCTCAGAAACGTAAGATCCGTGGTTCAAATCCCGCCTCTGGGCAAGTATTGCGACATCGGTTGGGAAGGAGGCGTGAACTTCCTATTAAATGCTCTTCCGCGGTGCTCTGTGATAAGACCTTAAGGACTTCTTGGGGCACCTAAAATCAACAAAAAAAAAATATGCATTGATTTTCGTTTATGCTCTGTTTTCTCTTTCTCTTTTTAGCGTTGTTCAACTCAATTTTTATTTTTGACGAACTAATCATTGTGAGGTGATTTGAACTGTGTGCGACTTTAAATCATTATTAGTTAAATGGTCCTTTATGATTCTCCAGGAGTTAATACTTGAAGGAGTCATCTTTATCTCAACAGAAGAGTTGTTGATGATAAAACCACGCTCAAAAGCAGCCTGACCATGAATAAGTATTAAATTTTATCTATTGACAAAAGACAATTTTATGTAAACATTGTTTAAATTGTGAAGTTACATTGTAACATTTAATGTGTCCTGAAACAGGGTGTTCACTCTGCTGAAATTTTTTTTATTAAAAAGAACGTTGAAAAAATAATCAAGAAGATGCTTTGGATAATAATAATGACTTTGACTTCATTATTCATAAATCTTTAAACTAAGATAACACAAAGTTACATTGCTGTGGTGATGAACTCTTTAAACTCATAAAGTACCCAAGTAAAGTTTTCAAACGATATACCAATTTTTGTTTTGTTAATTCATTCAAAACATTAGGATCAAAAATAATGGTTGCTCTTATCGATGAATAATTAAATGGAGAATTTGATTGGTCTTAAAGGTTTTCCACTATTTAAACAACAAACTTCTTACCCACCTTAAAGAACTTTGACCTAATCCAATTATTCTTTTAGAGATAATCTAGTTCTCCAGTAACAGTAAATATTGCATCAAAAAAAGATCTTGATCTTTCAACATGTTTTAGTTTCTTCATTTTCTGTGGACATTTGGTTTGGCAATAACCTCAAGCAACTTTATTATTATTTCCTTTACATAAAAATAGGATGTCTGTCAGTTTTAAAATTCCAACAAAACCAATTTAAAATAAGGACTTAAACCGTGATTTAACTTAAACGAAGTTTTGTTACAACCCATTTGAAATTGTGAAGCATTATATACTGTCTTGAAACATAGCTGTAAAAACGTGGCTGTTTGAAGGTAGGGAAAATCTACTATCCACATTCTTAAGCTGCCATATAATTTCAGCCTCAGTAACAATCTAGTTTTTTGAGACGCAAGTCTAATATTTTTTGCTTTCTGTTATTGAGTTATTAGAGTCTGAAAAAATAAATGTTAAAGAGCTTTTCTCTTTTTTTAATTTTATATTGGTTTGCTCCTTTCCCATTATTTGTCAAAGACATAGAGACCACTTGAAGAGAGTTTTATTGGCCTGTGGCAAACAGCACATAATGCTTTAGTATTATCTTTAGGATCTTTCTTTAGCCAATCTATAAAGTTAATATAACTCAATCAATCATCTTTAAATTGTCTTTAATTCTTTGCTTTTATCTAATTTCATATTTATATTAACTAAAATAACAATACTTATGAAAAATATAAGACTTAATAAACTAATAAACAAAAAGTTTTTTAAATGAACTTTACAATTTCGACGTAATAACATTGTTAAGTTTACAATATTGTAAAAGTTTTATATTATTAAAAAAAAAAGTATAATGTTCTCTCCAAAGTATGTATGATACTTCAGACTTTCTAACTAAAGAATAAAACATTGCTTAAATATAAACTGAAAAGACTATAAAAGTAAGTAAAAAAAATATTTTAAATGAAATTGATAAAAGTACTCTTTATTCAATATTGGTTTCAATTATATTGTTCTTATTATGATCATATTGTTTATATATATGTATATATATATATATATATATATATATATATATATATATATATATATATATATATATATATATAAACATATATATATAAACATATATATATATATATATATATAAACATATATATATATATATATATATATATATATATATATATATATATATATATATATATGTTTATATATATATGTTTATATATATATGTTTATATATATATGTTTATATATATATATATAAACATATATGATCATAATATATATGCTCTTATTATGATCATATTGTTTTTACCTAAAATAATTTGCAGCACAAAACTTATCTTGTATTGATTAGACTAGATTTAAAGATAATCAACTCACTTCAGTGAGTGAAAAATTATGTGGTGTATAAATTTTTTAAAAAAAGGTGGAGGTTGTTAGGTCCAAAACTTTTATAATTAATTGTTAATAAGATACCTCATCTTTACTCACAGGATCCTTTGATGTCTAGATATTTTGCTTACCGTCAATATTTGCGTACTAAAAGATTACAGTTATCACAATATTTAATTATATTACTCTAATTAATAATATTATAAAAGACTTTCAAACGTGCCCTATGTAAAAGATATTCTATGAAAAGTACTATGTAAAATCTTTGATTGACTTTAGTTTAAAGTCTCAAGAAGCGACTTGTTGACTTAGAGCGCCAAAATAAAAAATAATGGATGATAAGTATTTAATTTTACCAACTATATTAAAGTATTTTACTATTTTTACACTTCGCCAATCAGGAAGCATCTTTTTTATATCTATTTTAAGTAACTTGATTTGAAAAGAAGTTTGAAATCAATATCGTTTTTAATCAATTGGAAACCCATGCGATGTTAACAGTTGTAAGCAAAGGTTTTCACAACGCCAATATTGAATCTTTTCTCTTCAAATGACAGCATTATTTATATTATTTACAAAAAAAACTTTATTTTTAGTAACATCTAGAGCAAGTATTATAATAATAAAAAAAACAATAATCCAGGACTTTTTTGGGCTAATATGAAATTGACTTATAATTTATAATTGAATTATAATTTTAAAGTTTGCACCTAATGTGAGTTTTTACGTCTAATAATTCCCGCTGCGGTTTCTGGCATAAATACTTTTTTTTTCATTTTTTAAAATCACATTACAAAACTAGAAACACTATACAAATTTCATTGGCTTATTAATTGTTTTTTGTTTCCAAAACATTTTATCCTTTGTAATTGAAGCGTCGGTACACATAAGAAATAATTTAGTATTTAATATATATATATATATATTTATAAATTGCGACATCTACAATATTTGCTAATAAAATAAAATAATTTAAATAAATGGGATTTTTGATTTAATAAAATTTACAACATGCACTCAGACTTTATTCGAAAGTTTTGAATAAATATATACAATCTTAGATAATATTCTTTTAATTCTTATACATAAGTGAGTGTGTGTGTGCCTGTGTGTGTGTGTGTATATATATATATATATATATATATATATATATATATATATATATATATATATATATATATATATATATATATATATATATATATATATATATATATATATATATATATATATATATATATATATATATATATATATATATACACACACACACACACACACATTTATATACATACATATACACACACATACTTGTACACAAACACATTCATGTATATATATATATATAAATATATATATATATATATATATATATATATATATATATATATATATATATATATATATATATATATATATATATATATATATATATATATAAATATATATATATATATATATATATATATATATATATATATATATATATATATATGTATACATATATGCATTGGATTGTTTTGTGGACTTTATGATCTTTACATCATTAAGGAAATAAAAAAAATTCTATTAAAAAAGCAATTAAAATAAAAAAAGTGAGCGAAACTAGAAAAAATTCTTTGTGTGATCATCTTAGCTGTTTACATGCACTGTACTTTCAACAGAGTTCGATTCTATTTCACCAGGATGCATCAATTCTTGCAGTTTTCGGACAATATTTCTAGCCAAGTTAAGAGCTGCATGCGCGTCGTGTTGCTCGGCCATTTCTATACAAACATAAAACTTTTAATATAAAATTTTTTTAAAAGCAAAGTCCTTATACAAATTTTTAAAGGCTCGTGTATTTTTTGTTTCTTCATCAGAAGCTAATATAACATATATATAATATAATATTCGCAAAACTCCATAAAAAACTATGTTTGCACAAAAATAAAAAAGTTAATACCGTTAAAAAACTTGATGATATCAGTAAAATCCATTTTATTATCAATTATGATCTCTCTAAACAAAAATTCAATAAAAATTATTTATTTGTAGCCTTTATTGACATACAGGGTCTTTTTATAAAAACAAATACACCTTAATACACATAAATACATTCATAAATCACACTCAAACAGCTACAACAAAAAACCGACTGCATACAATCCTCAAACTTAAGTAAGTGGCGAAGCATTGCAAAAACTTTAATAAATGCAAACTTGCATAAATGTGTCAAAGGAATTTGCAAACACTGGCATAAATACAAATCTTCATGAGTACCAACCAGTAGCCAAAATTTGACCGTGTGAATCGACATAAGCGCGCCAAAAGATTTTACAAACACTGGCACAAGTATAAACTTGCATAAGTGCAAATTTACGAGTCCAAAATACACTTTCATTTGTATATCCGTTTTTTATAAATTTTTTATAAAAAAAAATTTTGTTTGGTGCAATTTCTCATTTTTGCAGATTTAAGCTTTTCCAACTGCTTTATACTACTTGCCAGTGTTTGCAAAACATTTACAACTGCTTTGTACTAATGCCAGTGTTTATTAGACTATTAATAAATATTAATAATATAGACTAATATTATATATTATAATTATCTTATTTATAAGAACTATAAACTAAATACCTGTAAAGCTCAATTAAAGCCAGCGCAAAAAATAAACTAAAATTTTCTGAAGAAACAGAAGCAGCAGACCAAATCGTCTCCCAAACCAAGAATATGTCTTCATAAAGAAGTTCTAAAAATGTTTTTTTTTATTAAAAAAAAATTGTTGTTGCAACCTTGTGCACTTAGTCTGCAAGTGGCTGCAGAAAACCGGGTGATTGTAAAATAATATTGGCAGCCTTTTGTATATTTTTGTGAATTATTATTAAAAAAAATTAAGAATTTTTTTACTTTTTTAAATGAATCACTTAAATTAGAACTAGAAAATAAATACACCTCCATGCAATCATTCTTTTTATATGTAAGATTTATTTTATGTATTCATCATGCAGTACAATTGTAAATGTATTTTTTTATATATAATTTTTTATTTTATTTATAATTTATTTACTAATTAAAAAACTTTAGTTTTTGCATTACTTTATATTTAGATCAAAAAGTTTCAAAAAATACAAAGTCAAAATTACAAAGAGATTAAGAAATACAAAGGAGTTACAAAAAAAGTCTGAAAACATTGTTGAGCATTATCTAACTAGGACCTTTAAAATCAGAAATTTTAACGCCAAGTCAAACATGAAAAATCATATTTGATTTTGAGATTAAAATTTTTGAAGTCGAAAAATGTTCAAGAATGTCAATTTCCTTGTTTTTTTTTAATACACAATCTGTTTTAAAAAAGAAAATGAAATTTATTATTTTTATTAAGTTTACTGTTCTTCTAAATTAAAAAAAAAAATTCATCAAATAATAAAACAACTTTTAAAATAACAAAAAAAATTCATAAATAATAAGACATAATTTTTACAATAACAAATCAGAAAATCTTCTTTTATGAATAAATACTTTAATAACTTCTGAAATACCAAAAATTTAACAAAGTGTGGAAAATCAAAAAAAAAAAAAAAAAAAAAAAGCCTCGCCTAGTAGCCCTTGCCAAATTTAAAATTTAACCAATATCAGTAATAATAAAAAGGCCAAACTTACAATAATAAATATATAATACTTGTGTAAATTTATTTCTCTATTCAAATTTATTTGAAAAAATTACTAGATTTATTTTTAACAGAAATATGTTTAAGGTGTTTACCTCTTTTAAAGTCTAACAAAAGCCATCGATAAGCAAAATAAAATATACTTTCATCCTCATGTACATCAAACACTTCATAAAGCTCAGGATCAAGAATCTAAAATTTAAATAAATAACTAATATTCAAAAAAGTAAACAAAAATAAATTAGATAAACTCTCTCTCTCTCTCTCTCTCTCTCTCTCTATATATATATATATATATATATATATATATATATATATATATATATTGTATAAATTATATTGTATAAATTATATTGTATTAAATATATAAAAACTTAACATACTTGAACTAAGGAAGCAAGATTAGATAAGTGTAGATCCATTTTCTCACCATGGGGGAAATTGCCTCCAATTCTATCCATTAATTTTACAAAACACCCATAAACTTTTGCTTCTAATAAAGTTAAAAACACAAAACTGAAAATTGTTTTATTTAATGATCACATAAAAAATACTTATTCTTTTATATATAAATTTCTTTTCACATAGTCATGATGATCCTGATTCAATAATGCTTTTTCATTATTGAATCATAATTATCATGAACAAAATGACGATTTGATGAGTGGTCAAATTAGAACAAAAAATTTTGTCAGCCAAATTATTTATATAAATAAGGTAAATTAAAAAAGTGGTACTAATAAAATACTGATATGCTGCAATTTATGACAATTAATTAACTTCTAACAAAACTTAAATTTGGCAAAAAGCCTATATATTGGTACCATACAACACGCTGATTTTCCCAACATAGGCTTAATTATAAAAAAGTATTGTCTTTTAACATTTTCAAGAAAAAATTAATGTTTCAAATTTAGTTTTTATACATTCTTCTTTCTATTCCTTGTAATTAATGTCACCAATTCTGTCTAATTTTAGTTTATCATAATGGAATGTTGAAAGTTTTTTGTACAACTAACACAGAGTAACACCTACCTCTCACAGATACAATCTGAAGTTCTAGTTGTTTAATCAAATATTACGTCAACAGTATTATATAAAATCAAATCAGTCACTTTATGGATTTTTTGACAAAGTGATTGGAACTTGCGATTTTTGTGGTATAATGTGTTCAAAACTCCTAATTATAATAGAAGTATCAATGGTAGTAAAAAAAAATCAGTTACAACAACAAAATTTTCTAAATTGTAAACATCACTTCCAATTTTTAATCTGTTTTCAGAAAATACAAAAAAAAGTTTGCATATTATAAACTATGCTTAAATTTCAAAGTATAGAGAAAATTTCTAATTTTTATCAAGAACTTCTGCAACAAAAGAGAGGTTTTCAATTGAGACATAGATCAAATCTCAACAACAGTTTTACCAGCAACACTTAAAAGTTTATGAGTTAAGGATGCTATTCTTTTTTCTACTCGATTTTATATCAAAATGTGGCCAAATATCCCATCAAAATTTTAGTATGGAATTAACCATGCCAATTATTTACCTAAAATGGTTTTTTAACATCAAGGATTTTCATCTGGACTGTCATCTATACCCAAGATGTCAATTAATTTAACAAATAAATTATTTTTTGAGATTCGTTTAAACCAATCAATTTATTTAAATCAAGGTCGTGATATAAGGGAGTTGACAACAAATATTTCCTAGATCTAATGGCTATATATGTGGGACCAGAGAAACTTATGAAATTTAGTTTCTCTGAATCTATTGCAGCATACACTGATGGTCCAATTTGTATCTATTAGAAATAACTCAGTCATAATTTGGTAATAAATAATCATGTCATAATCAGTCATAATCAGTCATTAAATACTCTATATGCATATGCAACAGCCCTTGCTTATATGCAACAGCCCTTGCTTATATGCAACAGCCCTTGCTTATATGCAACAGCTAGTAAAATAAGATCTTGAAACCATACATATAAAAATATCAACTAATTTTATTTTGCCTTAATAAACCTAAAAAAAAAACAACTTAAAATACCCTTTTAGACAAAGAAGTGACAAGATTTATTCAATGTAATTTTTAAAATAATTTTTCTTTATGGCTTTATTTTTTAACGGTCCTAATTCTCTTAACTAAGCATTGCCTTTTAGTTTTTTCTGTTTATTTTAATTTTTGCTTCCTCTGCCTATTTAATTTTAATTTCCTCTGTTTATTTAATTTTCATCAAGCCTTTAGCTTTTCATTTTTTGCACATTGTTAGTTCAAACTTCCAATACTTGATGTGGTTACTTGAGATCATAGGTTATCCTAGTCATATTTTAAATATCCGGAAAATTGTTTGGATAAAATATCCGGAAAAAATCCGGAATTTTTTTCCCTTATTTTCTTTTTAATTTCGGTTTTAGCAAAGTTGATGCTAATTTTTTTTAAATACTTTTCATAATTTTTCTATGAGTGATGAGTGAAAAAGCTTAAAAAATAAATATATTACAAAAATATATACCTCAACTTGCATTTATTGAAAATGTTTTGGATATCCGGAAAAATTATAAGTTGAAAAAAATATCCGGAACTCCGGAAATATCCGGAAAAAGATAATCCCTGCTTGAGATGCATCAACTCTATCAAGTTGTACATGAGGTGAAACTTATCCAATAAGAATTGATTGGCTTTCCTTACCATGAGGGATTTTTTTTAAAGTAGAAGACAAAACCCACCTTAGACTGTCATTGATATAGATAAAAATGTATTTAACAATTTTTTTACTTTATAAGGAGGTTTTTTGTCTTATTTTATTTCATAGATATATATTTCTTTTTGAAAGCATAGTTGAAACTTAGATCTTTTATACAAAGTACAATTCTACTTAAATAAAATTTATGCAACAACTAAAACAAGACTAAACAACAATAAAGGAAAATGACTTGCATTGCGTTTGTATTTGCCAATACATTAAAATTCTATAGATTTTGTTAAGTCTTTGTATTCAACTTTTAAATCAAAGTAACCTTTTATGAGAATTTCAATAGAAAGACATTTGTCTGAAATTATTAGAAAAAAATAAATCTTAACAAAATTACCCAACATTAGTATGTAACATGATATGTGGACAACCTCACATGATATGTGGACGACCTCATAGATGTTTTTAAATGATTAGTTGTTTTAGTAAATTTGCTTTTATGTAAAACTATTTTTTTATAATTACTACAAAAGTTAGTACACAAGGATGAGCTCTGAAAATTAAAAATTAGATATAGAGATTAAGTTGAAATAAACAAAAAAGAAAAAAAAAGGAAGCATTTTTAGTCCTTTTGTAAATTTTTCATCCTATAGTGATATACCATGGGCAAACAAACACTAACTTAACAAAGGAAATATTTTCATACACACTAAACCAACAACAACAAAAACAAAATAATCAAAAATACACTCTGTAATGCACAAATAGTTAAAAAAAAATAGCAGTGAATATACCATCATCCAATATAACAAGAAGAGGAGCACATAGATCACACATCCCTTGAATGTAGCCAATATTAAGTCGTTCCCAAACATAGCTAAATTAAAAAACATGTATTCACAAAAAAAAAACTCTTATCCTTTTGAATGACTTTTAAGGTGCTGCTACAAGAAATTTTAATTATCATAGAAGAGCTTTTAAAGAGATCCTCACATGCTAAGATAAGTTAATTTCGTTTAATAAATCTTAGGAAATAAGTTTAATGTTATTTATCATGATATTATTAAAAGTTTACTATTTTAACTGCATTTTGTTAGTTGTAGAGGTAAGTTTCAGTACATTAAATATTATTATTTTAAATCTAGACTGATAAATTCGCTTTTGTAGTTAATATTTAACGTCAATACAAAAAAATATCTTTGAAATAATTTAAAATTAAGTTAAAAACATTATTTTAGTTTACCTTTTTGCATTTAATCCCTAACAAAAATATATATAGCTATCAAACAAAAATAGTTATTTAAGTTTATAACAGTTAGTTTGATTCCATCTGAAAAAATATATAGGCCTTTTTAAAAAGATTTTTATCAAGATATAAATCAAAAAACACTTTGCTTTTATAAATTTTAAAAATATAAAATGTTTTTTTATTTTTTTATTATTTTTTTTTAAATTAGTAAAAAAAAAAAATATTTTTTAAATTTAGTAAATAAAAAAAAAAAATTTGATTTGAAAACAAAAATAAAATTACCACATTATTATGTTCCGTAACTTTTCTAAATTAGTTTCACTAGAGAAAAAAGGGTTAGTACGATCACATCTAAGAACATCTTTATCAATGCGATGAATGTTAAGAGCAAAGTCTTTTAAGTAACCATCCTAATAAAAACAAAAACAAATTATAAATAGCAACACAAATAAATCATATAAATTTTTAAAAATTATACTTTTAAGCATAAAATTTTAACATTTATATATTTAAAAATAGCTAATAAATGTTTTGTATAAAATTAATAGTATAAATTAATGTTAATATAATAAAATTAATATTAATAGTATAAATTAATATTAATATAAATTAATTTTTTTGTAAAGATTTTTTTATAAAATGTTACAAATTTTGTGTGTAAAATTTTACTTAAAATAAACTTATTTTTGTATTTATAATACCGAATAGTTACTTCCAATTGAGGTAACGGAGTGCTTTTTTTCTATAGGGATATCTTCACTATTCTCATTAACATCATTTCTATTAGACTGTGATTGATCATAAGTCATTTCAGATGAATCATTGTTTAAATCAGTCTCTTCACCTAGCTTCAAACAAGAATAACACTTTATACTGTCATCAATCTTGTCAAGTATGTCATGAAAACTGCTTCCATCTACATCCAACTCTTTACCACAAACACAGCATGCTTGTGCAATATTAAAACTTTGAGTTTTAGGAACAAACTTCTGATGTAAACCTTCAAATTGATTTTGAGAATCTTTAGAATTCCTCCCTTTTTTCTTTATAATATTTTTCCATGCTAAAACGCCTTTCTTAGAAGCTTTTTGAACCATTTCTCTTAAACTATGCTTTGTTTCAAGTATGCTAGCAATTACAGAAAATTCATTGTTTTTATCGTTGTTAGGCTCTTCTGGCATTTTAATGTCATTTGAAATAGAATCAAAATTATCGGTACAATTATCAGATGACAAAGTATCATTTAAACTAGACTTTGCATCACTTTGAATTTCATGATGGAAAAATGTTTCTCCATTAGCAAAACCATTAAGAGCTAAAAGTTCTCTTTCATTTTCCTGCAAATGCCTTTCAACAACTTTGCATTCATTTAATATAGTTGCATAATTCTCATTAACAATTTTATCATAAACATCAATTAGATTGTCTTGTAATGCAAAAGTATAATGTCCCAGTATATACGGCCATACCTAAAAAAAAAAAACGAAGTTTATTTTGAGTAATAATACTTTATACCAGTTTCAAAATTTACTTAAAATCTTTTTTTATCACGATGTAACAAAAGTGATTATGGAATGTATTAGCACAAAAAGATAATTAAAAAAAAAGAACTATGAAGCAATATTCTCAGTTTGAAATTTTCATTTAATTCAAAAACTTATATTCAAAATTTATAGGAATTTTTTAAAGTTAAAAAAAGAAAGTTAGAAGCACCATATGCACAGCTTTATGCAAAAAAAAAAAAAAAAAAAAAAAATTGAAAAAAATACATAAATAAATACATTAAAGAAATATTATTCTAAATTTTACAAGTGTAACCTGCTCTAGCAGGAAAAAAAAAAAAAAAAGCTCTTAAAACACAAAATAAATTTGTGCCATGCTCTTGTAGAGCATATTTTTCTGAATCAAATTTGTAACCAATTCTTTCTTGAGGTGGAAAAATTTTTAAAATTCTAATTAAAAGTACAAAACTAAGAAAACAGAAAAGTTTGACTGTAAAAAGTCCTTAGCAACGCATGTTTATTGCAATCTTTTCTGTTCAAAATTTGACATAGACATCAAGGCCGTTATTTTAATAACGTATTATACTTGTCTTTTTTAAATAGTGTCTAAAATATACTTTTGAAACCAAAATAAAGATTTAGTTTCAAAATTTTACATCAAGTACATGAATTTTACAAAATAAAATTTTAACAGACACAATTTTTATAAAATGTGCTATACCTTTTATTAATTTTTATCAAAATTCAAAAAAAAAAAAAAAAAAAAAAAAAAAAAAAAAAAAAAAAAAAAAAAAAAACAAGAACATTTTTTAACTGGATTGGAGTTGATGATAATTTATACTGTTATGACTTTTGCAACAAAAACCCCTTTTTGTTAGAAAAGCATATCTCGAGCAAACAGTCATAATTAAGCTAAATAAGCCATAACTTAAATTTTTGAGTAATTAAAGTAAAAAAAAAACAAATAAATAAAGCTAATCAAAATAAATATAAACTGTAAATAAACAAAAATGATATGCAAGTTTCTCAAGTTTATTCTGCTTTGATATACAATCTAACTCTTAGCATAAGTTTAACAACAACAAAATAAAATGTAAAGATTTTTTTATTTTAAATTAATGCTTTTATACATTTTTTAAATGCCAATAAGACAATCTCATTTTTGTATTATATTATATATTTTGTACTTTAATTATATATACTAAGAATAACAAAGCTTTAATAATAAACAAATACAAAAGTTTGAATTTTGCTAATATTTTTATTATTAAATATTTTACAATTTTTTATTATATTGATTGTAGAAATAACCAATACAAATAACTTTGACATAAATTATTAATTAGTTAAATGTAAAATCTTATGTAACTAAAAAACATAATTATAAATAAGTTAATTTTTTAAACATTTAAATTAAAAGAAATAAAAAATGCTTTTTCTCATAAAAAATTTAGGTACATTGTAGTCTGTATATAAAATAAAAAATGTTGAACTTTAATACTGGCTGATTAACAGGAAGTGAAGGTCTAACTAGTTGGGCATCATTGTTATAACCAGACATTTATAATGACCTGTTTAACCCTACTGAGCTGGTACATACTTATATAAAGACAAATACTGTCACCATACTGTCAAGCATATAGCTATAATAAATGGTATTAATTTAAAAACCTATTTTACCAAACTGTTGAAAAATTAATGCTAATCAAAAGAAAACTCTGAAGAACTCTAAAAAAATTAAAAAAAAAAATCTCCCTTAGAATAGGGTTCCATTATTGTTAATAAAGGTAATATTTTTTTAAATACTCTTCTAGTAGCGGAAAGAAAATACTACGAAAAATGATTGAAACTGTTGCTCATGATAAGACAAGTAAGGTACAGCAAAAGTTAAAAAAATTGTTGTACCTTGAATATCTTGAGTATAATATCAATAATTGAAATATTGAAATAGTTTCAATAATTGAAAAACCTTAAATACCTAAAAAATATCTTGAATACCTAAACTTTTAATATGTAAAAGTAATGTGCCACCACCTGTCAATAATGCCACCACTTTTTTTTTTTTTTAATTTTAATTCACCTCCTCAAGGCCGAGAAGGCCACTACAGACGAGGAGGCTACTTATTTGTGGTTATAACCCTCTCTCAACTCTATAACTCCGAAACACAAACCTTGACGAGCAAGGCCGCTGCGCGGAGAAACGAGTTGAGCGCGGTACTACCAGGGACGTGGTGGGGATCGAACTCGGAACCACTCGTTTATGAAGCGAGCGCTCTACCACTACACCACTACCGCATATTTAACTTAAACTTACAACTGTGACTATAAATGATAATGTCAATAAATTTTCTTTTAAAAATAATATGAAAATTTTTATTACCAAAATAAACAACAATGATCCATTGTTGTGCTATAAATATAGTGGATGGTACAATGCTTCATAACAAGACCTGCAGATTTTTTCAAACCAAAATAATTAGGCAAAAAACACAAATACTTGATTGAACAAAATGATAATTAAAATAATTGCTTTTACTGGAAAATATCAAACAATATTTGATAATTGAAAGCTATTTCAAGCCCTGTTGAACTAATTTATTTTTAACAAACATCTCTCAGCCCTATAACTTTAAATCCTTGAAGAACATGCTTGCTGCACAGGAAAATATAAATCTTGAAGAACTACTCAGCTGCTACTCAGAAAAACACAAACCTTGAAGAAAATGTTTGCTGCTCAGAAAAACACAAAATTTAAAGAACATGTTAGCCGTACAGAAAAATACAAACCTTGAAGAGCATGGTTGTTGCAAAAAAAAACCCAAACTTTAAAGAGCAGAAAGTTGCTGCCCAGAAAAAAAAACACAAGCCTTGAAGAACATGGTCGCTGCACAGAAAAAACTAAAGGTTATTGCAAGATTGAGTGCAAGTAATCTTGCTGGCACTCAAAGCTTAAAACAATTGGGAAAAATTGATAGTCATCAAAATATTCATTGCCATCTTCTAAATGCTCAACTTATTTGTTATCACATTTTTCTGTTGTAAAAAACAACAACAAGTAAACAAGTAATAAATACCTCTTTTCTAATATCACTTTGAATGCCACCCAAATAAACCAACTGTCTTAACTCTGTTTTACAGAACATCTATAAATAAATAAAAAATTAATTTAAACATTTTTTCAAAAAAAAAAAAAAAAAAAACAATAAAAATAATAAATAATAACAACAATAATAGAAAAGTACAAAAAACACAAACAAACAAAGAATATTTCAATACCATTCAATGTCTAAAATTTTGTGATTAAGGCCCAGGCCCATTTGTTTTAATCTACAACAATACTTACAAAACCTTTTAAAACATTAAAATTGCCACAATAATTGTAGAAAATCTTAGTTAAATTTGATTAAAGTTTGCTTGTTTTCCAAAGTAAAAACAAAAAATCTTTACCAATCCCCTTTTTTTCATACTCTCCCATATTTCTTTAGTAAGACCTTTACTTTTACTTTCTGTAAAATCGCCAGACCATGGTAATACTAAAGATGCCAAATGTGTACGAACAGTTTTTAAATGTCTGTAACTTGCAAGCCCTAAACAAAGGTACTTATAACTAAACAATATTAATCAATTTTGACTTTAAATTACATTTTTGATTATTTTCTTAATGAAATACTCAATTTAGCAATTTAGAAATTAGTTCTTTAAAAATATTCTAAAAACTTGAATATAATTATTAATGATGCAAACACCAGTCAGTATGGTGCCTGCCACGTTGTCTGCTAAAACCATAAGTTCTGAGAAACTGTGTTATTAAAATACTGCAATAGTTTTTTAGTACACAAAACTAAAGTGTAATAAATCAAACATAATAAATACAATGCTAATGCAAAAAAATTAGTTGTAAAGTAGTTTTATAATGCAAAAATAATACAATAATATCTATAATAGAGTAACCTTTTATAAATTAAAAGTTTTTTTTTTTGATAAAAAACTTGAAAATTGTTAGATCAATTCTAAGTTAAACATTTTTATGTATTTTTTATACTTACATATACATTATGTCATTATGTGCTTTTAAGGTTTGTTTTAAAAAACAATTAAAGATAAAAATAACTTAAATGGTGCATAGTGTTGGATGGGTATACCATAAAAATGGCGCATAGTGTGGGATGGGTGTACCATAAAAATCAAATATTACGAAAACAACTAATAATTTAAAAATCAACAAGAACTAAAAAAAAAAAAAAAAAAAAAAACAATTTTATTATCATTTTATATAAACAACCTACAAAATTCTTCTAATCTATTTATACTAGGTAACTATATATCAAGTCATACACAAAAGTGTATGCAGGATCGTGTACAATAATATATGCACAATATGCACAATAGTTTATATGCACAATATGCACAATAGTTTATGCAGGATAGTGTGTACACAATAGTGTATGCACGAAAGTGTGTGCACAATAGTGTATGCATTATGGTGAGCGAACTGTTATAGTGTGTGGTAGAGCAATTGATTTGACATTTTTTCTAACTTTTTTATGTAAATGGTATTAAAATACTCAACTCATTTACTACACAACAGTCTTGCAGAGAACCCCACTGCTGCTTTTATACTTATTTGTATTACAGGCTTTTTGATTGAATATACATAAAGTAAATTTATAACGTCCTTATAAGCAATCTTTATTGCTGTAATTTGGTGACAACTACACTTGAAATAAGTCTATTATCTGTTGTACAGCATTCTTTCAAATGCTATGAAGTAGTATCTAGTACCACACTATAAGACACTTTATTAATAATTTAATTTACTTTTAGTTATTCAGCTGATTTCATTATTTTAACATTATTCAATCTTTACTGTTTAATTAAGCCAGTTTTAATTTAAACAAAAACTTTTTATAAATATTTTCTTTTTGTAAAATCAAGTAAACCAACTTTCATTTTTTTCCTCCAGAATTCTTAAACAAGAGTGACTTTATACTAATATAACAAGCCTAACAACTAACCAAATTCCAACTTTCATCAGAGCTAACTAGTCACTAAAACCAAGTAGTCTAATCAGCCGCTGATTTAGTAGAGGCATGGGTGAGGGGTAGGAGAATTCCATATAACAGTTGGCTCCCTAAAATTGTAATGTCTGGTTTGATCAGTCAAGAGCACTGCCAAGTAGAAAAAATAGCTTAAATGCAAGAAATTTTTAAAATAAGTTTATTCAGTGGAAACAGAGTTACAGCTACAGTAGTGTGCAAGGTTTAGCAATTTTAGTAAATTCTATATTAATAATGAGTAATATTAAATTATTCTATATGGAACTTTATTTTATGCTTGATTAGCTAAGTACACACTAAATAAAAGTAATATATGTAAATAAAGATAACAATTGTTAATATTTTGATAGCTTTTAATTTTAAGCCTTCAGAGATCTTCTTGGGCATTAAAATGCACAAGTTTTCACACAGTTTGCTCTTGAAAATTTTTACACAAGTTGCTCTTGCAAAAACAACTTTGGTTTTAACTATTTACTACAGATTTTCAACAGAATTTAAATTCAAAGGCCATACAAATGGTTTTATATTATTCATCTGCAACCATGCCATGGTCATTTTGGAAGAATAGCAGGCTACACCATCTTGCATAAAGGTTTTTGTGTGATGGATTTTATAGATGAGCTTCTACTCATTCATCTACTTTCCCTTTTTGAGAAAGTATAGGGTACTTCATCCTGCAGTACACAAACACCCCCAAATCATTACTGATGAAAGATGCTTAACAGTTGGTCTTGAGTAGATTGGGTTGCAAGGATTTGAAATACAAGGTTGTTGAACATATGGTTTTACATATGCAAATAGCTGAAAGGTACTCTAGTCACTCCACTACAGTAGATCATTACTGCCCAATTTTCTTGCTGTTGACAGAACCTAAGCCTCATTTGGATGTGATTTTTGGTCATCATTGGTTTTTTAAGGGATAGCAAATCAAGACTTTGATTTAATACATGACTTATACTTGACCTAGAAACATTGTACACTTTGTCACAACCCATAAATGAGTTTGTTTTTATTGGTCTTCCCATTCTCCTTTGTGTATAGAGTGCAACTTTTAGCAGTCTTCTGAATCTTTGTTCCAGCCTTATGTTACCAGTGGAGTTGCTTTTTTTGTTGAGATAAAGCTGATTGAGATACTTCCAACTTACTAGCAAAAGTTTTACTAGAAAACTATATAAAAACTAAATCTTCTTAAGTTCAATGATTGACCTTTGTTTACCAGGCAATAGCTGTTTTGCTTTCCCAATTTTTTTAGTTTTAATCTAAGTTTTAGTCAAAAAAGTCATAAAACATTAAACATTATTTTACACTTAACTATTTTAAAACATTATTATTCTATTTTACAATATTTTATGTATCACTAATTACAATTAATAAAATAGAAATAAAAAATAATATTTGAAATTTAATTTGTCTTTTTTTTTTAGATAACAATCGTTCTTTATTAAAATTAATCAAGTTTTGCACACTACTGTATATACTTTAAAAAACTTTATGAGCTTAAAAAACAAAACATCGTAAACTCTGTAAACAACATAAAGGACAGGCATATGATGGTGCTTCTGTCATATTCAGAATTAAAAGTGGTTTTTTAAATTTGAAAATGAAAAGATCTTCACCTAATGCCATCTATGTTCATTGCTGTGCTCATGCTTTGAATTCATTGACCATCAATGTCAGTAAACAGCAATGAACAGTTATTTTGGCACAGCTGAAAATTTGTAAACATACTTCATGTCTAGTTTACCTCAACTTTATGTTCTCTATGAACATCAGTTTGCATAAATTTACAGCAGACACTTTAAAACAACTTTCTGATACAAGATACGCAAGAAGGAAGTTTGCATTTTTTGAATCTTGCTCTTTTAGCCAATCTTCACACTAATTATGACACTTGGAAGTGTCAGAGCAGTAGCTTTTGGACTATCCATTTAAAAATTTTTTGTTGTTGTTGTTGCAATATTTGCAAAAGCTGTTAAGCACAATGTTTTTGCAAAAACTGTTAACCTTTTTGTGATATCAAACTATTTGCAATGCAAAGATAGAAATTTTGTTTGTAAAACAGTTGATTGTTACAAAAAAAAAAATATTGATATGAAAAATGATGCAGCGTTGAAAGTCTAGATGTTTCGAATCTTTTATAAAAAAAAATATGTATCAAACTAAAAAAAGTTGTTTTTCTTTTTAAATATTTTGCTGTTAAAGAATATTTACATGAATAAAGGATTTACATGACCAGGACAAAATAAAGACTACAGTTGTTTTATCACTAAGTTGCAAAGAAGAAGAAAAAAAAAAAAAAAAAAAAAAACCATGGCAGTAGAACTTTGGATAGACAAAAAGATTGATACATGTTTTGAATACAATTCGGAAGAAGTGCATGCATCAATATCTCTCTCATTTATTTCCTTTCTGAGTTGACTCACCTACAAACAAAAGATGTGTGTTGAAATTCTAGATTGTGAAACAAATGGCACTAGGTCTCCCTAATTTTTCTATACTTTATAAAACTACTTGACTCTTTCTGTTGCAACTGCTACAACTGAAAAAAATAAACTGAAGATTATCAAAAACAATTAGCAATCAACAAATACAATCCAGCAACACTAATCATCAATCCATCACTAAGTAGAATCACAATAAAAAACTTATAAATAAAAACTAATTGCTTTAACAATAATATTATTTATTTTTCCAGATTTACAATAACAATGTATAACAAATTCACTTACATCCGTTAAAAGCTCTTGCTAATATTTGATGCTTCATTTTCTCGCATGCCAAACTCAAAACAACTCTAAAGACAAATTCTAAACCATGATGTTAAATATACTAAAATGAAGAATTACCATTATATCTAAATGACATCATTTAAATATCTAAATATCATGCCTGCAAATAACAACTAAGTTGTTCTAACAAGGCTGCAACAAAGCTGCAAGTAAGCATCTAATTAAAAATAGAGAGGTGCTAGTTATAAAGCAGGATAACATTAAATAAAGAATAGTCCTAGGTATAGAAAAAATATTGTAACAAATTTTAAATAGAAAGCAAACAATGAACTTAGACAGTTTATGTGTCAGTAGTAAATTATTAGTGGCAGATATAAAACTTTTTAAACATATATTAAATTTAAAAAAACAGTTATTAGATTTAACTTAACATTCCTTTAATGTTTAAAAGTTGTGACTGTGAAATTTAGAACCCCCTTGGTTTAGGAAAGATAAAAAATTTGGATAGTCAAAATTTTTTGAAAACTATAAGATTATTAAGTAAAATTTAAAACATGTCGAATGTTTTTGTTCCAAAGCTCTAATCAATTTTTTTGTATAACATTCTTACTTGACATTAGAAAATATTTAATTTTTGAGTTTTGTGTCATATCGGAAACATTAAAAAATCCTGTGTGCCCTGCTTTATACAAGAAAATTATATATTTATACTTATATCTAACTTATAAATTTATTATACAATGTGTATAATTAAAGATATAATTATATATAAGATATAATAAATGACATCTTTAATTGCCTCTTGTACTTGTTATTGTTGTCATTTGTCATTGATGGCTCTAAACAGACAGTGAAAAATTGATCCTAATAATAAATTGGTTAATGATTCAAGTTTTTTTTTTTTTTTTTTTTGAGATCTCTAATCCCTGCAAATGTAATCTAATTTTCTTACCATGATTACTAAGAGTTTCTTTAAGAACAGTTTTTCTCAAAACAGGAGTATAAACTTGAGTTATCAGCAAATAGAACCACTTTAGATGTAAGGTTGTCAGAACCATTAATGTAGATAAGAAACAAAACAGGACCAAAGATAGAACCTGGAGGTAATAATAACCAGAAGTTACTGAAATGAAGTGTTGGCTTTCAAGGATTATTTTAATAAAGTGGTTAGAAAGAAATAACTTGATGACCTCAAAAACTTTAACAGATACACCACATGAAGCAAGTTTGTGGAGAAGACCAGCACGCCAAACTTTGTGGAAAGCTTTAGATATGTCAAGATATGTCAATAGTCCTAGCTTCATAGCCTTCATCTAATGCACGATAAAATCTTTTAGTCACAGCAGAGTAAGAGGATCCAAAACCATATTGATTGTCTGACAGTAAGTTGTTTGACTCAAGATGGGTTGTGACAAATTTGTAGATCAAAGACCTTTCTAAGAAAATAAATAATTGGAGGGGTCATAATGTTCTCTAGAGTTTTTTAAAAATTGGAACAACAGATACCATTTTCCAGCAGGCAGTAAAACAAAACTCAGTCGAGCACTTATCAAATAGTTTAGAGAGAATTGAAGAAAGTTCTGGAGAACAATTTTGTAAGACTATGACAGGAATGTCAAGCCTCAAGCCGTAGAAGAGTTTAATTGAGATGTGACTTTATCAAACTTGATTTATTTGTAGATAGAGCACAACTTTCAAAGCAATGAGTTATGCAGTTGTTTCAATCCTGTTAATTAATCCTAAGTTATAACATTGGCCTCCTTATGTGACCATGCGCAACATGGCACTGTTAATACTCTATTTTGCAGATGTTGCACATTGGGGTATACATGTTTACATGTATACGCCAACCTAATAGATGAAGAAGGGGTTTGAGGCTGGTTAACATAATTATTCTGTTTACCCTAAAGTCTTTGCCAAAAAGGTCTTTTACAAGACAATAGCTGGATGCAGTTAACATCTGCCTAAGATGATTATTTTTATCGAAACAACATCTTGAGCCTTTACTCAACCAAGAGCCCCAAGGTAGGGGATTCATCTCTATGCATCATCTCTAGCCTTTACTCAACCAAACCCTAAGGCAGAGGAACAAGTTGGAGTTTGCTTTTCCAAGCCTTTGCTAAAAAAAGGCACACCCTACAAGGCGGCAGGGCAAGGAGAAGGTAGTACTAAATTACATGATACCAGTAGCAGGATGATTATACATAAATAAAATAACTTATGTGTGAGAAAACATACATAATATAGTAACTTATGGGTGAACCAACACTGCATCAATTGGTTCAGACAGATAATAAACATACATAAAGTAACCTACAGGTGAGTGAACACCACGCCAGAGGCTCAGATAAAACATAAATATACAATTAGCAACTTACGGGTGAAAAACACCCGACTAGAGGTTTAGACAGAACACAAAGATACATATATAGTAAAATACAGGTGAGCTAACACAGTAACTAAGACACCTCAAACTATAAAAGACAATTGCGCACCAAAAGTTTCTTTCTAAATACTTCCAAATATGTGATGACAATTTAAAATGATTAAACAATATTTTATTCTTTAGAGCCACAAACAAATATTCAAATATAATTAAAAATAGTAATTTAACAAAATATAGTTACAACTAGATTACCTCATCCACATATCTAAAGTCCAGTTTATGTAAAGTAAAATTTTATGTAGTGTTAGCATTTAAGTTAAAGCTCATAAAGTGGTTGAGTCAGTTTTCTACAATTTGACAATATTTTTTCTTTCATGTCTGATATAATGGTATACATATAATGTATGAAACACTAAAATATTTTATTCTAAAAAATGAGAAAAGTGAAGGAAAAAAATGTATTCTAAAAAAGTTATTTTTCTTTGCAGTCCATAACAAAAATGTAAATCTTTTAAATAAAATTTTTATCCAAGTGTTTTCTTTTAATACTTCCTTTTTTAAAAAAATAAAAATACCTCGGAAGAACTGTGCGTCCACTTCCTACTCTCATGCTACAGTACACTTTTGGTAGTAGAATTCTTTTTTCTTGAGGTGCTTTACGCCAAGGTTTTAAAAAAATATTTGGAGATGCGGTTAACATCTTTTTGAAGTTAGACTCATCTAAAAAATAATTATTTAAAGCCTAAAAACTAAAAAATAACTAAAAACAATTATTACATACAAATAATTAGGATAAAGAATATTATTTAATTATAATAATTAAGAGCGCATTACTATTATTAACAGCAACATTAATAGAGCATTATAATGGTGTTCAAAATAATATTTTTTTATATTTTCTCAAACCCTCTGTTTATTTATAGCTGGGTTTCAAAAAAAGCCAAACTATATAAAAATTACAATAAAATTTTAATCATAAACAAATATTTTATAAGAACACAATATTCTAAACCTAATGGATTTCAAAAAATGGCAAACTTTATAAAAATTTACAAAAAAATTGTAATCATAAACAAATATTTTATAAGAACACAATATTCCTAATGTAAAAAAAACCTAATGTAAAAAAAACTATTTTTTGATCATAAAAACCTGCCAAATCTTTTAGCTCTAAATTTTTTAACTTTATTATTACTTTATTATTACTAATTCAACACAAATAACAGGTACGAGAAGACTTTTTTTTTTAAATATTGTTTTACTATTAACTTATATAAAAATAAAAAAAGCATTAAAAAAAATTACTACCATTTAAAAAATTTAAATTATATATAAAAAAAAAAAAAAAAAAATTAAAAACCTGTGTTTGCAGAAGATCTAAAAACAAGACGAAAAACATGATCATTTCCTGCAACAGGAACATCATTTCCACCTTTTAATTTATTAGGTAATAGTTTTTTTAGCTTGGGCCAAGTTAGATTATGACCTTGCTTAAAGAGTGGAGGGTCTAATCTTCCAAGCGGATAAAGCCCTTGCTCAAGACAAGATAAAAAAGAAAATAGTGATGCATCAGATTGAAAAGTTAAAGGAGGAAGCTGTGTCCCATCTTGATTAATTAAGACAAGATTCCCACTAGAAGCACCTAAACAAAGAAATTACCAAAAATATTAATGTTTGACACACATTTTGCATAACTAAAGTTGACCATAAGAAAACATTAAACAAAAACTTACATAAATTAAATGAAATTAAATAGAGATGCGTACAGTAAGTATACAAGTTTAAGGTTAAAAATAAAAAATTTTTTTCTTCTTAAAAACATCTTTTAAAATAAGTTTTAAATTAATTTAAAAAAATGCAAAAATTATAAAAAAACAAATTTTTATTGTAAATATTATTTAAAATATTTGCTAAAAATAATGATGTAATTTGTATAAAACTTAATGTTTTCTGCATTAGAGAACTAGTGGCAAAAAACAATAAAGAAGTTAGCTTTTAGAAAAATAATTTTCAGGAGAGCCACATGTCTTTAAAAGATTTGATTGGTCCCTAATAATAATAAAAAAAAGATGTTAAAAAGTATGTAAGGTCAGGTCTCAAATGAAGCAAAATTTTATAAAAATTATTATTTTTAGAAAAATTATTAGATTTTATTGCATAAAATATAATTTTCTGAAAAAATAATTTTTTTTTAAACATGTATTTATAATATTAAAAACTTTTTTAAAATTTTGCTTCTTTTGAGTATTAAACATACTTTTTTTAAAACTTTTTTTTTGCTTAATTAGGAATTAATCAAATCTTTTAATGCCAAGTGGCACCAAGTGGCAAAGAGTGTAAAAAAACAATGCATATACAAAAGGTGTGAAAAGCTGTTTATATGTATATATATATATATATATATATATATATATATATATATATATATATATATATATATATATATATAATACAAAATATTAGATAATCTTTACATAATAACAAATTACAATTAAGGATTTATAAATTTAAATAATTATAAGATGTATAAAAAAAAAAAAAACAAGCAAAATTATAACATGGTATGTAGTTTAAAAAAAAACCAAGCTCTGATTTCTGCAAACTCTAACAGCTGATTGCTAAAGACTTCTGAAATATAAGAGTTGAGGGCATACAAAGTTATTTAAGGTTATGCTAAAGACTTCTGGAATATGAGAGTTGAGGGCTTACCAAGTTGTTGGAAGAAAAAAGATGAAGATTGTAGAGCAAGATAATGATTGACAGACGACTTAAAGAATTGCAAGTTGTATGAATCAGGAAAGTAAGATGAAGGAAGCGAATTCCAAACAACTGATGTTTGATGAAAAAAACTAGACAAATAAGAGTTTTTGAAGCACATAGGAACAGTCACAGAAAAAGGATTAGACAGAAAAAAGGATGAGACTGAATGATGAGTAACATGAGAATGAATTTTAGTAGATGGTACAAGAGACACTAGCTCTTTAGAGCAGTGCCCATTATAGTATTTGCAGAAAAGAGAAAGAGAAGCAACATTAGGATGATGCAATGTTGGCTGCAAGAGCAGGTCTAACTATGTTTACAATGCGTTTTTGCACCTTGTCTAAAAGAAAAGGGCATATTAGAAGATCTGCCCCAGATACAGCATTCCATACAAGAACAAGTTTGAGATTTATAGAGATAGAGAATAAAATCCCGAGTAAGAAAATGTCAAGCTTGATAAAGAGATGCAACCTTAGCAGATGCTAACTTTGCAACGGATTTGATATATGGTTTCCAAGAAAGATCGGAGTTAATCCTAAAAGATAAAGGGTAGATGACTCATTGAGTAAATTACTGTTCATAAATATAGGAAGATCTAAATTATTGCGATAATAATTGGCTGAAAAAAAATTGAGTTTTATCTGAATTAAAGTTCACTAGCCACTGTGATCCTCATGCTGTAGCAGAAGTGAGATCCTTTTCAAGCTCAAATGCCACCTCCAAGCAATCAGAGAGTGTTGGGCCAACACTGTTGGCTTCTTATCATGGCAAGAATATATGGTAGTATCATAAGCAAACAATGCCACCTTAGATGTAAGAATATCTGGGAAATCATTAATGTACATTAAAAAGAGTATAGGGTCAATAATCGAACCTTGAGAAACTCCTGAAGTTACAGAATAAGAAGAGAAGTGCTGTCCATCGAGGACAACTTTTATACTACAATTGGAAAGAAAGAACTCAAAAATCTTAAAGATGTTACCAGATACATCATAAGAAGAAAGCTTATAAAACCATGAGACCAGCATGCCAAACTTTATCAAAAGCTTTAGAAATGTCAAGAGCGATGGCCTTAATCTCTCCTCCTTTATCTAATGCATGATAAAACCTATCGGTTAATAATGTTAGCAAATCAGCTGTAGAACGAGAAGATCGAAATCCATATTGGTGATCAGAAAGTAAGCTATTAGATTCAAGATGAGAGATTAAGTGTTTGTTAATTAAAGATTTAAAAGCCTTGCTTATGATAGGAAGAAGACTAATGGGATGGTAGTTAGACGAACCAGACTGCTTTCCAGAATTTTTTAAAATAGGGATAACAGATGCCGCTTTCCAGCAGGCTGGAAAACAAGACTCTAATAAGCGCTTGTTAAATAGTTTTGAAAGTATTGACAACAGCTCCGTAGAGGGAATAAAAGACTCCATGCCAGCCTGAGTCCACGAAGTTATGTAAGTAGCATATTTATCAGCAGGAAGACGAAAGATTTCAACCAAAGGGCCATCACAAAGAAAATCACAGAAAGAGTCCCAGTCAGCTTTAAGGTAGTTGTAAGAGATACATGATAGGGGGATTTAGATGATGAAGAAGAACAAGATAATAGTTTTAGAGAGATCAGACAGTGATTAGAAGCACTTAGAGGGTGAATATGGAAAGACTGAGCACTAACTAGGATCTGAAACAAGATATAGGTTGAGTAGAGTAGTTATATGATTCGGATTGTCTGGAAAGCAAGATATTTTTAAATAATACTTGCAGTTTGACAACATTTTGCAAAGATTTAGCTGCCTTATTTTAAACATACATGCTTATTAATGAATGCGCAGCATTCATTAAAAGCATGTATGTTTAAAATAAGGCAGCCTATCAGAGTCTATTATAGGAAAATAATTTGGGCAGCAGTACCCCCGCACTGGAAAAATTTGACAGAAGAATTGCAGAATGTAGGCATTTTTTTGCAAAAGAAAACAATATTTACCATAAGAAACATTTCAAATTTGTTGTTTAATTATAAAATCAGCACACTCTCTAAAGAAGAATTTTTTTTTTAGTCTTTATTTTTTTAACTGTTTAGTCTTTTTTTTTCCCAGCTGTTTCCTAGTTAAGTTTGATTAGTCTATTAGCTTTCCGAATATTTTTCCATTACCATGACATTAATTTGTAGCCTATAAATTGACGCAGTGTTAAAAATCTTTTTAGGTTCGGCATTCACCTAAATGCCAACATAAAAGTAAATGAGATTGGCTTAAAATTGCCAACCTTGTAAGTATGTTGAGTAGTGACCCCTTTGCGTCATTTTTTTTTTTGCTGATTTGATGCCGACCTCTAACAGTGTGAGGTCGGCAATTTATTGCCAATCTCAATTTTTCCTAATTCCGAGGGCTGAAATTTACTATGCAAATTAATAATATATGTATATTTTGAAAGAAATTCTTTTATAATGAATTCTTCACTTTTTTCTAATTTTCACATTTCATTATACAAAATATTATACCAAATTTTATTCTTACTGTTTTCTGAATTAATTATGTCTAGGTGTGGAGTTGTAAAAAAAAAGTAATGACTCCAACTCCAGTAGTTGAAATTTTTTGAGTACAACTCTGACTCCAACTCCAACTCCAAAGCAAAATTTTTGAAAAACTCTTTGAATTCTTTAAAAAATATTATGCAATTAGTTTTACAAAAATTTTTAAATTTATTAAATGTTCTTTGAGGTTTAGTATGAACATAAGGTTAATTGAATGTTTTGTACATGCATGTACAATACCGAGAAGTTTTACTATTGAAGTCAGAGTCGCGATTTTGTTTAACGACTCCGACTCTGCTGAAAATGTAGCAACTCCACAACTCTGACTCTACAGCCCTGGTCTAGATTATATAAGTGTCTGACTATTTGAATAAATGTTTAATTATTTAATAATTTAATGACTAATTAAAATTGAAAGTTAATCAAGAAAGAATAAGTAAAAGCATTAAAAAAATGCTAGCGAGCATGACAATTGTTTTTTAAATATTTAACATTTTTAGTTAAATTTTAATTTAAGAAAATCAATATTAAAAAAAAAATCTGCTATATACCTAAACTGTGACAATGCAAGTACACGATGTCTGATAGATCTGTTGTAACAGCATGATCCCAGTACTTGCATTTATCGTCAATAGATTGGAAACTACTTGTGTGCAACATAGGATTTGGAGTCCATTTTAAAAAAAGATTATCTGCAGATTTGTGTAAAGAAAGATAACCTTGAAGGGACCTTTCTTCATCCATCTAAAACAGATTAATGATGAAAAGTATTAATTTAAAAATTATAACTATTAAATAACAAAAGAATTGTCTGTAATACAACGTAAATGAACAAAATAAAATTAAAAAAAAAATAATTTTGCTTAGTTTAAATTTTTTTGAAAATAATTTTAAAAAAATTTAGTTTAAGCAAAATAATCTAGCAAGCATTTAAAAATTTATTTAAACAATGATACTTTCATAAGTTACATTTTTATTAGTAATTGATGTAAATGGGGTGAGCCAGTGAGTGTAATATTAAAACACTATGACAGCCAACTTGCTCAATTGCTGCTTATCCAGCAATAAAGACCTGTTATTAACTATCAACTAATTGTGCATTAACCAACTTGCTTGTCAAGCTATTCCATAAATTGGCTAAATCTATTAAATAAAAAATTTTCATGATGCACTAGCTTAGTGATTTCTTTGACATATTTAAGCCAGTGATCTCTTGTTTGAGTTTGTTAAAAACTAATTTTTTTAATTGTTTCCAAATCGTTAAACCTTTAAAGAATTTAAAAAGTTTTATCATGTCTCCTCTTTGTCTCCTTTTTGTCAAGGTAGTTAAGTCAAGAGCTTTCTTGAGCGATGATATTAATAGAGTTGCATGATGTTGGACTCTTTCTAGTTTCACCCTTTCAAATAGGTGACAAAACTAGTACTGCAAACTCTAACAGTGTTCGCACAAAAGACACAAAGTATTCTCAGCAGTCTAATATCTAAACAAACTAAGCATTTTCTAATCCAACGCAACATTTGGTTGGCTTTGCCTAAGCATTTTATTACATGATTTTTCCATTTCAGATTGCTTGAGAAGATTACTCCAAGATCACTTTCAGATTCTGTTATGTTTAACTTTTGCTCATTGATATAAAGGGGTGATTTTTTGTTATTCCGGCCAAGTTGCATGGGCATACATTTCAAAATAATAAATTTCACAAGCTAGTTTTGAGTCCAATTAAAAGCTAAATCAAAATCTCATTGCAAAGAAAAAGTTGATGCACAGGAAAACATTTTATTAAAAATTTCGGTGTCATCTGCATACAGATTGGTTACGCTTTTTAGAGTTTCAGGTAAATCCATTATAAATAGCACAAACAAGAGTGGTCCAATTACTGACCCCTGTGGCACACCACTGAAAATTTCTGCCCAAGAGAATACATTTTCACTTATTACAAATCTTTGTTTTTTTCTTTTAAAAATACTTCAATCTATTGTATTGTCAGACCAGATATTCCATAAGCTGTTAGTTTAAGCAACAACCTTTCATGTGGCACTGTGTTGAATACCCTGGAGAAATCCAAAAAAACAACATTCACAGGATTACCATTCTCTAAGGCAGTTGAAATAAAACCAAGTATTTCAAGTAGATTCGTTGAGCATGATTTATTTTCAACATAACCGTGCTGTTTCCTAACTATTAGTTTGAACTCATATAGAAAAATTTCAAGTTTACATCATAGTTATGCCTTACATTATTTTACATGAAACTGAAATAAGTGACTCTGATCAGTAGTTTCCTGCTAAGATTTTTTCGCCTTTTTTGCACAGAGGAGTGATATTTGCTGATCTAAATTGCACTGGCAGTTTGTTGGTTTCAAATGACTTTTTAAAAATATACGTAAGTGAAATGGTGAAGGCTGATACGCAGGTTTTTAACAAAGCTGAATGTAAATTATTAACACCACTCGATTTTTTTCTTCCATGTTTTTTTATCTTATGTGAACATCTTTGTATGTAAAATCTTCATCTGTCATACTGAATTTTTCAATAGTTTTTAAATCAAAAGAATGCAGTATACCATCCTCTTTTACAAATGCAGCTTGAAAATTTTTGTTTTAGATACCAGCAATATCTTTTGAATTTTGAGTGGCTTCACTATTTGCTCTGTTTAATACTTTAATAGAATCTTTGACTGTTTGTTGATTGTTCAATAGCTGAAGAGAAACTATGGATTCTTGGTTTTTATCAGATTAAACTCAAAGTTTTGTTGCATTTTTTCAATCTTGACTGCTACATTTTTGCTTATAATGAGAAACCTCAATCTAGCAAAATTCATGGCCTGATTTTTAAAGAATTTAATGTCTTTTTAATTGGAGTGAAATTATTACATGCCAACTTGATGTAAAAAGCCATTTCACCAAACATTTCTTGTAGTTTTTTTATTAGTGAAGCATTGTATCCAGTCAAGATTTGAAATTAAATCCGATATGAGTTTAAAATTGGAATTAGCAAACATAAATTTTTACTTGCTTTTATTGTCACAGGTTGTTTATCAGACAAGATGAAACTGAAACATATTATTAGATGGCCTTTGCTTATGTTTCCCAAAACAAATTTTGAATTAATTTTTTATTTAAATATTAACACTTGCTGATTGTGTTGTAAAGATTAAATCTAAGGTATTCACAAGGTGTTCATATGAAAGCTGGAAAGTTGGTATGTTAATATGCTGATAAAGAAAATCATCATTTAAAATATATGTAAATTTATATTTAATTCCATTCTTATTTGAAATTGCATCAACATAGACATTTGACCAGCTGATTGATGGGAAATTGAAGTCACCCATGATATGTAAGTCTTTGAACTTATTTTTGTCTATATATTTGCGTGCCAGGCCAAAAACCACATCAAATTCTGCCATATCAAAAAAATCATTTGGCCTTTAGATACATCCAAGTAAATACTTGTCATTATCAAAATAAACAACTGCCCACACTTGTTCTAGTTTACAGGGATTTAGAACAGCATCATTTAGTTCATAGGAGTCTAATGAGTTTAGTGAAAAAAAAAATTTCAGTTTCATCTTGTCTAATAAATTTAGTAATATTTTAATGCCGGTTGTTGCTGCATTTCAAAAACTGAAATTTGTTCAGATTTTGAAATGCAACAACAACTCTCAATAAAACATTACTTTAAAAAACTTTATTTTTATTTAACTTAGCTTGACTCTTAAAAGTTTAGTTGCTTGATTTCTTTATAATGATTGATTTTATCACTTGATAAAATCAATCATTATATTAAATTCTATATTTAAATTATATTGCCATAAAATAAAATAAAAAATTTTTGAATTGAGATTATTATGCTGTTCAATAAGCAAATTTTACTTTTTTACAGGAATTATCTATTGTTTAAACATATAAGGTCTTTACTCCACCTTTTTATTTCATTTTAATAGAAACGTATTATAAAAAAGTGTCAATGACACATTATATAAACACTAAAATAATTTATTTAATTAAACAAAATAATTGAAGAAAGTCTAGTATTTTAATTTAGTCAACTACAAATGAGTTAATTAAATGTTAAAAAAATTAATTAATTGCTATAAACAACCAAACATATCTTTCATGGCATAAAATTAATTTAAAAAATTTTGAAAATATACCGTGGCAACAATAACATTGTTCTTTCCATACAACAATGTTGTATCAGCATTTTGATGTAGTGATTCAACATGCTCTCGTGCCATTATTGGAGTACCTATCATTGGTTTTTCATCAAAATAAGGGGTAGTAAACAAGGATCTTTTAGTTGAGCTTGGGCTCTTTAATGTATTGCTTGTAACAGGAGAGCTGTAAATTCGATGTCTCTGAACCAGCTCATGAGCAGTGGGGTCATTCCAAGTAATATCAGGGGTTTTCATTCTTGAGAAATCCAAAGAACATGGACCATCTAAATTCAAATCAAAATATTTTATTTCTCTAGGTTGCACAACAAGTAATTCCTGAAATTTTATAAAACATATAACTCATAGAAACTTACTAAAAACTTAAAATAATATAGAAATTGAATAAAAAAAGAAATCATTAATTTTGTTTTAATAAGTTATTTTAATTTTTTGGTTTTTTTGAATTCAAATATTTTACAACTAAAATCTGACATTATTATCAAAATTTATTATTAAATTATTATTAAAAAAAAGCTTATAAAAACTTGTTTAAAGAACACATTCAACATTTTTTAGCAACAATTTGTTTATAATATCACAAGAATACATAAAAAACTCCATGCTTGTGATATTATAAACAAATTATATATATATACACACACACACACAGTAAACTCCTGATATCTCAAACCTCCAAAAGAACGAGCATTTAGTTATTTGGACATTCTATAACATAAACTTTTGCCTATAAGTAAAAACAATTTAAGTTATCAAATGTTTTGACCTCAAATGAAAAATATTACACCATAAATGAAAAAATGTCACGATGTCTCAGTTTTGAAGAAAAGCCTTATTCAAACAAAATTTAGACTGAATTGAGTTTTTGTTAAATATCTTCATCACTATGACGGAAAATATCATTAACTTTGGGTTAACTAAATCGATCACAACATTACCATCAATATCTTCAACATCATAAACATCTTCATTTGATACTTTTTTACTTCTTCTATTAACTGTTCATCTGTTAGTAAAGTTATTGTGTTATTCAAGTTTTTGAATAACACAATAACTTTACTAACAGATCTTCAGCTGATGTATCTGGAGGTTAAAAATTGTTTTGATGCATTTAAAGAGGTCATCATTTTCATCAGAATGTGTAAGATTTCTGTTAATCTTCCAAAATCCCTGCATTTATTAATGGTGGAGGTTTTTACCTTTTGCCATGCAAGATCAAGCATTTTTATTGGGCCTTAAATTGAAAAAAAAAACAGGAAGATCTTTTTTTTATCAACAGCTACAACCAGTCTTGCAATTCAAAAGATCTGGAATTAAATTTCAAATAGTGTTTAATTCCCTGATCCATTGGTTGAAATTTAGATGTGGTATTCTAGATTAAATTATAGATTATCAATCATCGGATGTGCTGGGTAATTATTTAATATAAACACTAATTTCTTCTTTTCTTTGTATTAATTTCTCATATCCATACTTCAAACAGTATGCTATTCATTCAGCTTTAATTTTGATTTCTGTTTCTACCAGGTAAGTGTTAAACTCAATTGAAGCAGTGAAGCAATTTTGATTTACCTATTACAAACATCGGAATTTTATCACTTGTCGCATCAAACGATGCAAAATCATTTGATATTTATCTTTTCTGATTCTTTTTTCTTTAGAATTGATGGTGTGCTTCTATTCCTTACATTTAAAAACCATTTAAAAACCTGTATAATTAAAATTATACAAATTAAAATATAATTTAAATTTGCAAACATTCCTTCTATAAACATTCCCTTCGTCTTCAAAGATTTGAAAATCTTTTATAATTTTTAATTCAAGTTGACAGTGTGTTTTTTGAAATGCCTTACTTTATAGTTACTTAAAACTTTGATGAATTCAAATTTAAAAAATCTTTTTTAACAAAGCCAGGAAACTCAGAATCACTTAAAACAAGTGATAAATCATAGGTAAAAAAATCCCTAGTACTACAAATGGATAAACTTAGATAGATACACACAGATGTATACACATAGGCAAAAACATCACAACAACAATTTATTATAAACAAAATTTAGTTGTAAACACAAAAAAAAAAATTACAATTTATTGAGATCAATTCACAAAATGATCAATCAATTTAACAATTAAATATATCACTAGAAATATAAGAGAATTTAAACAAATAAAGAAATACTTACCAAATATAAAATTAGTAAGACAAAATCGCATATAATAAAATAACTTTTTTAATGATTAAAAAATTTTTCACATAAAATAATGATAAACACTGTTATTATTTTGACAAGCTGAATAATTAATAAACAGCTTTAAGCCATTTTCAGAAGAAATTGTTTAAATCAGACAATAGAACTTAAAGAAATTATTAAAATCTATTAAGAATATCTCAATGATTATGACATTATAATCATTAAGAATCAATATTAATATACATTATTAAAAAATACTAACCAAGCAACCATACTAAAGAAGGACCATTAACTGGGTCAGAGAGCAAAGCATCAGGGTCATAAAACTCACTAAAAAAGACAGTTTATACAATAGTTATTTCTCTAATATACAAAGTGATTCCTTACTATACACACATTATTCTTTTAATATTAAAAAAAAGTGTGTGTGTGTTTGTGTGTGTGTGTTATATATGCAATCATGTGATTTACTAAAAGGCCACAATTTTTAACTTTTTTATAGCTTTAAATTAAATCAATCAATTTCACCATTAATTTATTGAAAACAATGATTTAAATCTTATAAACCTCTATAAATAAGAATTTAAAGAAATTATTATAATACCTAATAATTATTTAAAAAAGACCATTATTTACGCCACATTGTTTTAAAACATCTTTTGTGAATAATTGTGGTCTTGAAAAAAACTTTTTATCTTTTGAATCTTACTTCTTGCAGACAAGACCTGTTTGTCATTTGATTTGACTTGTCATTCACCAGACCTGTTTGTCATTTGTGAGACTAATTTAAGTTTGGCTTTTTTGTCTTTGAGTATTAGCGTTAATGGCTATTAACCTTCGAATTGCTAAGACTCCAATTGCCACATGCTTGGCCTTACTTACATGTCAACTTAACTATTTGATGTGAAAAAAGGTTTGAATTCTCTGACTATTCATATATATATATATATATATATATATATATATATATATATATATATATATATATATATATATATATATATATATATATATATATATATATATATATATATATATATATATATATATATATACATAAATGCAAAAATACTTCAAAAGTGTATAATATTGAAAACAAATGTAAAAAAAAAATAAGAAAAAAGAGTCATATTATGCAATAAACTTAAAAACCAAAAGATATTTGAATTATTAGAAGTATTTTGATGCAAAATATTAATAATGTTTATTACAGATATTTGATTACAAAAAATTTTTTATTGTGAAGTAAAAAGAAAAATTTTGAATTTAAAATAAAATTTTAATATATTTTTTTTTCAATACCTAGATAATTTTTTTGTTTGTTGTTAAATCTAAATTACTTAATTTCTAATGTTTTCATCATTTGAACACAACTTGTCAAACCTATTTAAAAAGTAAATGATAAACAAATACACCTTTTTGAAATTAAAAAACTAAAAGGTAATGAAAAATTGTAAGCTAATGGAAAACAAGTAAAATATATAAAGTATAAAAATATTTATAAATATTTTAAAGCAATTAAAAAGATTAAATCATCAAAAAAAAAAATTATATAATGAAAATAATTACATTAAGTAAAAAAATTTACAGAACAAAATTTACTTAGCATGCTCAACTAAAGAACCAACTATGGTTGTTAATAATCTTTCAAGGAGAGCTAATCTTATCCACAAATACTTTGTGCAAAAACCTGAATAACCATTTAATCTTCGCTTTTCAGGGCTGTTAAGCTCTACTTCTGTAACAAAAATTAGTTAAAATAAAGAGTACTAATACTTTATATATTTTAATTAACGATATAATTTGCATTAAGAGGGATTAAAATATAACAATACAGAAACAAAGAGTTTTGGATTATAAGATTTAATCAATAAACATTTCTAGAATATACTAACATTTCATAATACTATTTAAATTTTGAAAAAGTTTTAAAATAGTTTAAATTTTTATGAAATCCAATAAAATCCATCAAGTGAAATTTTTTTTATTGTTTCTTTCAATTGTTGTATTTAATTGTAAACCTTTTTCCTCATTTTAGAAAGAATATTTTCTAAATTTTTCTTGTTTTTGCTTTACATGTTTAATGTTTTTATCTCTTTTTCAGAATTATTTTCTAAATATTTTCTATTCACTCTTTTTTTTTCTTTTTCTTCCTTAAATAGATAACTTTGCCATTTGTCATTGCAATAAGTGAATTACCTTTTAACAAATTTATAACCATCTCCCCATGTTTTATAACCATCTCCCTATGTTTTATAACTACATTTTCACATCTCCCCACATTTCCAAATGTATTTTTAGGAAACAAAGTTACAAGAAAATAGCATGAGAACTAAATATAAACCAAAATAAAAAGATATAAAGAATGCTTTCACATGCAGGATCATTATAAAAGATACCAATTAAAAGGAAAAAAAAAACTCTGATAAAAATATAACTATACAAATAAACTAAACTAAACTATACAAATAAACTAAACTAAATTTATTTTCATTAAGTTTTTATAGAAAAAAAGGTTTGTGTTAACTGTCAAGAAAAGAAATTAATTATTTTATATTTGAAAAACATGAAATAAAAAAAAATATACAATGTTTTGAATTAACTTTTTTAATTAAACAATTTTTGTGGTAAATTTATTCACAAAAAGGCCTGTTCTAGTATATAAATTTATATTCATAAAAAGAACTGTATTTGTAAATAATACATATACATATTTATTACAACACCTGTATTACTATATAATATATTTATATTCATAGCAAGGTCTGGATTAGTACAAGTTTGTTTTTATAACAAAACTTGTAATTCTTATAATAATACTTGAACTTATAATAAGACCTGAATTTGTATACAATACATCTATATTTAGTGATTTCGCTGGTTATCTGTTTTAAAAACCGAATAACAGTTCCCATCAATTTGCGGTTAACCGACTATTTGGTAAATTAGTGACGCTATCTGAATACAGGATCTTCTAAATTTCAACGAACGTAGCGTTTTAAACTAATTTTTTTAAAAATTAAAGTGTACATTTTCAAGACAGTTAGTGAATACAGTCCTATATTATATATTTATAACAAAACATGGAAAAAGATATATATATATATATATATTATACTATAGTATAATATAACTTTTTAATTATATAATTAAAAAAGGTAGGAATAATGTACAAGTATAGTTTAAATGTTTTAATATCAGCGGATGTTTTAAAATCATTCTCTCATATAAAAACATTTGGAAAAATGAGATATTATGAGGTAAATTTTTTTAGCGTGTATTGTAAAAAGTCATTGTTATGCGGACATAAATAGAAACATAGATAACTTAAATGTTCTTAAAACAACTTGTTGCGGAAAGATAATATAAAGAATATTTGCTAACTAAAATACCGCCAAATCTATGAATAAACAAATTCTATTGGTTCAAAAGTTACGCTGAATAAGCGAATTAGAGTTCCAAAATATTCTGAAGAAACTTTCTTAAAAATGTATTTCTTGAGTTGCAAAAGTAATAAATAAATCTTTGAGATTTCTATTGTAAATTGTTTTAAGAATATATTATCAAACAAAATTGATTAAATTAACATTTAAATTAATAAAAGAAATTTATTATAATCTTTGATAAATTAACATTTGTCAAACAATAATTGTCATAATTACGTTTTTACTTTCTATAAAATTTCGTAAAATTTTTAAGTCGGTTTTTATTATTCCAAAATAGATATTTGATATTCGAACAAAATCCAGTAAAACGCAAAACCGGGTAACCGGTGAAATCACTATCTATATTTATAACATTATCTTTATTATTTATAAAATACATTTATATTAATAAGGGTTATTTATTACTTATATAATACATTAATGTTAATAAACAGGGTCTGCATTTGTCTGTATTTGAGTTATAATTAGAAAAAAAGAACTTTGTTTTCGTTGTTAAAAAAACATTGTTTTAGTTGATACAACTCATAATATTTTCTGTTAATTTCTCTCTTAATTTTAATATTCTCTGTAATTAAGCTAATCATAGTATTTTTTGTAAATAATCTCTAAATTTTGTAAATAATCATAAAATTCTTTGTTAATCATAACATTCTTTGCAAATAATCACTACTAATCATAATATTATCTGAAAATTATCTCTACTTATCATAATATTACTCAATAATTAGTACTAATCATATTATTCTCTGTAAATAATCTTTGTTAAACCTAAAATTCTTTGTAAATAATCTCTGCTAATTATAATATATATCTACTGCACCTGAAAAACCAAATAAAACAATGTTTTTATTTAAAAAGGTAAAATTTTATTAATAATCATGTTACCATTTAGTTTGATATGTTGAAAGTCAGGGCTTAAAATATGTTTTTATTTCTAATAAGTTAATGAAAACCAAGCAAGAGTATATATATATATATATATATATATATATATATATATATATATATATATATATATATATATATATATATATATATGAAAAGCTTATACATAAAAATTGGAAAAGCCACAAATGATTTTAGATATCTTAATTAAATTAACTAAACTAGACAAGCACAGAATATAATTAATTTTGTTCAGTAAAGTCTTGTTTTGTTAGCGAACAGCAAAAAAGATTTATCTCTAAGAACTTACGCAAGTGCCTCAACTCTTATTAATACAATTAGTTCTTTATTATTTCTGATTTTATTTTATTATTTCTGAATTTCTAAAAACATATTCTTGCCTAATTAAACAAAAGCAAAATAAAGGCAAAACTAACTTTTTTGGAGCTAAACACATCAAACAAAAAGATCTTTCTTTGCTTATTAGCATCAAGTATTATTAAAATTCTTGTAATGTTTAATAACTATAAAGAAAAAATAAAATCAGAATTAAATTTTAAATATACCTGGAGAAAATCTTCCTTTAGATTGGTGAATATGTGACATATGTGTAGCCATTCGCAGAACACTTGCAGCAGTAGAACAGAGTTTAGAAAGTTTTACTAATACATCAAAACTATCATTTGTTGGAGGAAAAAGTCCACCAACACGTTTCTTTAACTTGTGAGTAATACAGCAATCTACTGCACCTAAAAAACCAAATAAAAAAAATGTTTTTATTTAAAAAGGTAAAATTTTATTAATAATCATGTTACCATTTAGCTTGATATGTTGAAAGTCAGGGCTTAAAATAAGTTTTTATTTCTAATAAGTTAATGACAACCAAGCAAGAGTATATATATATATATATATATATATATATATATATATATATATATATATATATATATATATATATATATATATATATATATATATATATATATATATATATATATATATATATATATATATATATATATATATATATATATATATATATATATATATATATATATATATATATATATATATATATATATATATATATATATATATATATATATATATATATATATATATATATATATATATATATATATATATATATATATATATATATATATATATATATAAGAAAAGTTTATACATAAAAATTGGAAAAGCCATAAAAATACATAGAAAGTTGAAAAACTATATATTTTATATATATATATTTTCAATTTTAATATTTTATAAAATAAATTATAAAATCTCCATAATAATAATACAGTTGAATAAATCATACCACATAGTGATGTAACAAGATTGCTATCAGTGTGTATAAACTTTTTTGATACTGCTTCTCCAATTAGTTTTTTTGCCTAGAAAAGTATAATTGGTTGCAATATTAATTGTTTAAATATTATACTAAACAAATATACTTTACAGTATAACTTAAAATATATTACTGAGTCTTTAGTTACTTGATATTGTTGACTTTAAAGTTACTATTGAATTATTTTGCAAGATTTACCAGATATAATTACTACTTCTAAGGCTAGCTTATATTTGTTATTGAACAAAATTTGATTATATAATTATTTTATAAAAATTGAAATACAATATATGCAATTAAAATACAAAAATATGCATTTGTTTTATTCAAAAAAAAAATTTAAATTATAATCAACTTAAAGCATTTAAAAGTGTTAAGGTGACCCATAAAAATAATTTAAAAAACTTATAAATTTACTTTATAAGTTTGAAACTTTTTTCACTTATAATATATCAATATTTTTAACATCTTCACTTCCAACAAGGCTGCAACCAATAACTATTGTAGTTGGCTGCAACCAACCACTATTGTAGTTGAAAGGTACTGGAAGAGAAAAGATGAAATTTATAAAACAAGATAACGATAAACAGACAACTTAAAAGATTGCAAATTATATTATTCAGAAAAAAAAAGATAAAGGAAGTAAATTCCAAAGAATTGATGTTTGAGGAAAAAAACTAGACAAATAAGAATTTTTGGATCACTTAGGAACAGTCACATTAAAAGGATGAATAATTGAATTTGAGTAAATTGAAATAAGTGAATTGAATGATGAGTAACACGAGAATGAATTTTAGTAGATGGCACAAGAGATGCTAGCTTTTTAGAGCAGTGCCCATTATAGTATTTATAGAAAAGTAAAAAGAGAAGCAACATTATGAATTAAAAGCTTGTTGTATACTTTGTTGAATGTTCAAGTGTCTTAAAGGGATCTCTAAAAGTATTTTTTTAATTATTTTATTTAAATTTGATAACATAGAAAAAAAAGAGGTGAGAGCACATTTAAAATTTTTTTTATTCATGAAACACTTTATCAAGTGCATATAAAAAGAACTAATACTGGCAACAACTACTTTGAATATGTTAAATACATTAGCAAAAATTCAGCTTTCATAAACTTGTAAAATTTTATGAAAAGTTATTGCTGGAATTTTATAAAAAGTTATTGCTACAGCCCAAACCCCCATAACCTTAACACTATTCTATTATAAAAGAGTAGAACTATGAAAATACTTTACAAGGAGAAAATATACAAAAGACATAGTACATAGTTGTATTTATTTGAAAATAATGTAAATAATTATTAGGTATATACCTATTTCGCAGTTTACACATATAGTGTTAATAAAAAGTAATGTGAATTATTTAGTAATGATTGTAGGGCAGTTGAAAATATATAATTATTTAAATTTTTTTCTCAAAAAAAAATTTTTTTATATATATTTTTTTTATTATATAATTTTTTTATACATATATATTTTTAGGTAAAAAAGAGATGTTTAGATTAAAATGCTTTTATTGAAAATATTGATATTTTGATGCATCTTGTGGTAAAAAAAACTTTATAATAATTTCAATCATTTTAAATAATATCAATTTAACTCATTTTAATTTTTTTTTAAATGAGTTAAAGTGTTATTTTTTGAACCTCATTTTAAAATTTTTTAAAAACTATTTTAGGTTAGAGAAATAGGGCACACAACTCTCACCCTAAGTCAATATATACCACTATTATATGAGTAAGATTTTTGCATTCTATATTAAAATTACTCATTTTAACAAAGATAAACAGGGCTCGAATTAACGCAAAAAAATCTAATCGCAAAAAAAAGAAATTTTTCAGAAGAGGAGGGAAGTTGCATTAGTATATAATTGTAACTTTTGTACGTAATTGTTGTACTTTTAATATATTATCTCTCATATTTAAATATAATCTTATAATTTTCTTGTTCGGCAGAGTTTAAAATAGCGTAAGTTACTGTTATTATTTACAACTTAGGATATAACTTAAAGTTTAAGTTAAAGTTGTAATAAGCAATAACGTTTTTAATACTATTAAGATATTTCTTAAAGTATATTTTTTACTTAAAATGCTACTTGAAAAATAAAAGTAAAAAAGTAAGAGAAAAAGCAACATTGCAATATCTAAACCACTTTAATTAGTCAAAGAAAACTATTTAATTTGTTCGTGCTAACGTTAAAACACATGTTAATTTTAAAAAGTATTTAATTGTTAAAAGCTATAAAATAACATTAAAAGAAACTGCAAAGTTGTTTTAAAAATATAAAGAGCTTGAGTTGATGTAAAACAAATTCGTGACGCTGTTTCGTGTTGATTTATACAATTTATAAAATAAAACGCGTATAAAATAAAAGGAAGCAAATAATTAAAATTAATCTAGTCAATAAACTAAAACAAAACTTCATATTTGCGCTTATAGACCTATACAAGTTTATAATATATGGACCAAACGAGTAAGATCAAAGAATAACAACATTAGATACCACGAATTTTATAAATTATCGTTTCCTGATCAAGCGTACTATTAAAAATTTAAGTATAATTAAGTATTTCATTCAAATGGTTTTTAAACTGATGTTTTCATTCAACTTTTTTTTTATTCTAATTGTTTTCCAAAAAAAAGTGAAACAAAAAATTTGATTTAAGAAATCGAATTATATTAAAGGTATCCCTAAGTTCTATAAAGATATTATCTCATATGAAAGAGCATTAAAAAAAAAAAAAATGCTTGATGTATATTATTTCTTTTAAAACCTAATAATGAACACACACTAACAAATTTAATTTTCAAAAAAAAAACGCTTTTCTTGATTTAAAAAAATGCGTCTTGTCCAAAGTTTATTGCCTCAAAAAACTAATGTTTGTACGTCAAATTAAACAAAGTAGACAAAATGTCATTATTGCAAACGTATTAGTTGGTAATTAATTTAAAAGTAAAGTTTTTTTTTTTAACTAACACATAACTACTTACAAGAATAAGTTTTGTAGCATTTTGTGAAAATATATTTGTATATTAAAATTTTTTTTATAATTTTTATTTATATATTTCACAACCAAAATTCCACAACCAAACCAAATTCCACAACCAAAAATGAGTAAAAGTAAACCAACCAAAATTCCACAACCAAAAATGAGTAAAAGTAAAGTCGTTTTTTTTAACTAACACATAATTACTTAAAAGAATAAGTTTTGTAGCATTTTGTGAAAATATATTTGTATATTAAAATTTTTTTTATAATTTTTATTTATATATTTGTATTATAAGGGCGATTCCACGGCTAAAAATAAAGTCAAGTTTTACGGCCAATAGAAGTCAAATTTTAAACTCTTTTTAGTCAGTTTTTAACAAATGAATATTTATGTAGACACATGAAAGTTTATTTAAAATATTTCCTTAGTACAAAACTAAATTTATTTCAGTCATTTTTATGGTTTCTGTTTAATTGTTATGGTTTTTACAGTTTAATAACATAAAATGCGTTTAAAATAAAACAAAGCAAATAAATGAAATTGTTTTAATTACTAAATTAAAAAATTATCATCAACAAATCAAAAAACATCGTCATAAACTTTATAAAAAATTATATACGACATTTTTTATAATTCATTGTTTCTTGAATAAAGGACTAATAAAAGTTTAAATATAATTAAGTTTTTTATTTAAATGGTTTTTAAGTTGATGTTATTATTCAATTTCTCTATTCCAACTGTATTTCAATAAAAAATGAAACAAAAAAATTTGGTTTAATAAATCGAATTATACTTCATAATTAAAATAAGGCTTAAAAACGTTAAAGTAAAAAAGTTATTTTTACTTTTACATTTTTATACTGTTTGAAAAAAAAAAACTAATAAAAAAGAATTAACTAATAATATATTAATCAATAATTATTAGAATTATTAATAATAATAATTAATTCTTTTTTATTAGTTTTTTTTTTCAAACAGTATAAAAATGCAAATAAAAGTCAGCAATTTTATTGCTCTAATGTTTTTAAGCCTTATTTTAAACATAAAATTTTGATAGACAAAGATAAAAACCAGGCTGTTTTGTTAGAATGAAGAAAAAATTCGAATTAACGTCTTTTCCATTTTCAACTTTTCGCTTAAATGACCTTTTAAAAAATTTCCACTTTGAGATTTAAAGTAATTTAAATTCAAAAATGTTTTATGTTGAAAGAAAATCTCCGCGCGAATGAGCAAATTATCTATTCATCTATCTATACATAATAATAAATTTTGTGTGACATTCTTTATGATAAAAATATTTTTTTTAAGAAAAAACTAATCGCGAAAGTGTGAAAAGCAATCGCGATCGTGATACGCTTAAAACGAGCCCTGTAAGACTTTTTTGTAAGTTCTAAACTATTTAAAACTATTACTTAATAACTTTTTTTTAACGACGCCTTTCAACCAAATTTTATTAAACTGTTTTTGCAAAACTAATTAAAAAAACTTGATTAAAACTTAACTATTTAATCACGACTTTTTTTTACTTGAAAATCAAAGTAGATATTCTAAAGTTGTTGTGACGTACTAACGTGATTTTTAACGACTAACAATCGAGTATTAATGGTAAAAAAATAAAATCAAAATGGAGTTGTTTTTCAGTGATTTCGGCAATTGCTTTTTGTTAGCATGCATCTATTATTACAATTTAGTGAAAAAGAAAAAAAACTTACATATTTTTTTTTATGCTCTTTCATATGAGATCATATGTTAGGAGCACTTAGGGATCCTTTTAAGTGTAAGAATATGCTTAAATTATTTTAAAAAAAAAAAAAATTTTCCAACTGAAGTAAAATAATTTATTAAATTTAATTTAAATTTTTTATAATTTTTATTTTAACTTGCAATTTGTAATCACTGCTTTGATGTTTGCAATAGAATGTTTCCACTTTTAAAACTATTTTCAAGAAAAAATGTATAATTCAAAACGTTAAAAAAATTAACGATTTAAGAAAAAAAAACACATTTTGTTACTTAAAACCTCATAACATAAGACCATAGTTTCTTCAACAAATTCATATATCAAAAATTTAATATTTAAAACTTCATAACTTTATGTAGAATTGTACTATTTCTATAAAATTTTTACCTTTAAAACACTGTATTAAAGCTCTTAATATATAACAATTTATAAATCAACTTAAAAACTTTAACTAACATCATTACAATAACTTATTTTAATAATTTTATTTGATGATGTCACTAATGTGCTAACATATATTGCAATTATATATTTAAATAAGTAATATATTAAAAATAAACTGCAAGAAGTTTATATTTGTTTAATTATATATTTATTTAAAGTAAACAACATAGCTAATAACTTCTGAATTACTTTTTACAAAATGAAAATGAATTTAAGTAAATTTTTAGTGCAATACCCTAATAGAAAAAAGTGTGAATGAACAGAATCTAAATTAGTACTAGCAACTTACCTCTCTTTTTACGTTTTCAAGTAACTCTACTTTATCCATACTGAGGCATTTTTATTTTAAATCAACAAAAGATCATATTTATAGGTATCCATAAAACATATCATTTTCGATAAAGACAAACATCCCAATATTTCCTTTAAAATTGTAAATGGCATGTAAATAACAATGCAAAAAAATTATATATATATGTATATTAAATAGTTTATATATATATATATATATATATATATATATATATATATATATATATATATATATATATATATATATATAATAAAAATAACAATAAATTAATAATAGCACAATAATAAAAGTAATTATTTGTATAATAGCAAGAATAACAATAATTATATTACCAGTAAGTATAATTAACACCTAATAATAATGATTAAAATAAAAACATGATAATAATGAATACATATATAAGTTATATATGTATTCATTATTATCATGTTTTTATTTTAATAAATTATACTATAACTTTATTACTATATACTTAAAGTAAATTATACTATAATTTACTTAATTTATTTTTCATCATTACTAAGTTATTATTATTATTAGTGTTCAAAAAAAATTTATTTTACTTTGAAAATAAAAATGTTTGTGTTTATATTGAACAGTTTTACTAGGCGGGAACTAAAAAAATAATTTAGTGAATAAAAATATTAATTTGTATTTTGTTCGAATTAAACATCAATAATTATACTAAGTACAAACTCGTTCGGAAGAAAACTTAACTATCAAGATAAACCCAGCCGTTTGTTTGTCCTTTTCTTTCCAGGGGCCGTTTTCACGTCTCTCCGTTAAGCTTAACAAAGCTTTGGTCAAAAATTTAATTACTTATTTCTAAGTGAAAAATCTTTAAAAACTTTTTTTTATATACATTTAAATAAAACTATTACCAAAATAGAACCTTAAAATTTAATAAATCTAATTTTTAAACATTTTTTTTAATCATACAGTTAATTTTTTTTTTTTTTGACAAACACTCCGTTAAGTTCAACGGAGATATAAAAATACGGCCCCAAGTCATACTAAAATCTTCGAAACATTAGTTTCAAAATAAAACCTGAGGAGAAAATTGAATAATTTTCCTGAAGAAAAATGTTAAAGACGTTTTAACTAATACAGTCACACTCACAGCTCACACTAATACACTCACAACTCACAGAATTATAAAATTATTTAAGTAAAATAAGTAACAAGTTATTTTTTAATTATTTAATTTTTAAGAATCGTTTCAATAATCTCTCTCCTGAAAACTTTAAAAACAAGTTTAAACTAAATAGAAATGAAAACTATTATCAAAGATCAATTATAAGTAACTGAGTATATCGAGGACTAAATATATAGAATATTTGTCAAAAAGGATTCAAATGTACGGAAAAATCATTAAGTTCATTCAAGTTTCTAAATCAAAAAACAAATTTTTAAAATATGAGATCTATGTACTTGAATAACTCTGAAGTTATTTGATTTTAATTTTCAGTTTTTTATCTTTATTTGATTTACTGATCAGACCGACAATACGGGGGAAGGGGTTAGGTGTTGAGAAATTTCTTCTTCTTCTTTTTTTTTTTTTTTTAAAAAAAAGAAATTTCTCGAAAAACGAAGAAATAAATACAGAACGCGCACAGCAAACAGGGAAGAAAAAAGGCAGCGACATAAGAAGATAAAGAAGAACAAAAGCAATAAAATTTCTTGATTAAAAAGATCGTGAAACTGTATTACAAAACTACAAAAAATATGGGTTGAAAAAATATAAATCAATAGCGATTTCAGACATCGAACAACAAACATTCGCAAGCAGTTATTTATTAAAGTTAAAAATATCCGTTTCTCAGATAAATTTGCCAAAGTGGTTTACAACAAATTATTAACAAAGTCTTTTTAAAAGACTATCAGATTATCAATTAATAATTTGAAAACACATACTTTCTGTATATATATGCATGGCCATATATATACAGAAAATTGAAATTTCATGGGTGGGAAAGGGATAGGCTTTTAAAAATAATGCCCCAAGGTGTGGCTCAATATGTTTCTAACATAATAGGGGTTTTAGAGCATGAGACTGCGTTAGAGTCTCCTAGCCTTTTCAGTAAAGAACCTGGACGATCACTTTATGCTCCCCAATAGGAGTCAGCCTCGAAAATGTTTAGCACTGCAACTAGTGATCATTAAAGTCAAAAATATTTGGCCGTTTATTTTGCAGATACAACATAAGTCTTCCAAAACCTGATTAGCCTGCTTCTCCTGAATGTCCACATAGTTCTAGAACTGAGTGGACATTCTTAGAATTCTAAGAATGATAGAAACCGTTGTATTGGTTGAACAGAAAACTTATCTATAAACAATAACAGATAACTGATCTATATGCGACGTATCTGGTGTTGAATCAAAGACTGAAGTTGCCAGAGGAGTTGCCTTTATTGACAATGCTTAAATAAATCCTACACCAGTCATCCAATCGGGCTGAAATTATGTCCAGAGTTTGGTGTGACTATTGGCTACATTTGCACCAATATTTATCAAATTATATTGAGTGGTTCAAATTCTACAAGTGTTTTTATTGGCGCACTCTGAAGTCAAAATTTACGTTGACAACTTGTCCACGTAATATTTGCATAAGTTAGGTAGCAATGAATTAAGTAGAAGTGTATAAGCTTTGGACTTTTTGAATTTATGTATGAGCGAATTCGATACATAATACTAATAGTTTTACTATTTTTTGATTGTATATATTTTATAATTGGGAGCCATGATAAATAATCATCCACAATTCCTAAAAATTTTATCGTACCTTTTTTAAATTTGTTTATAATCTATAATAAGTTTTGGTAGTTTTAGATGAAGGTTTTTTTCTTGTGTTTTTTTACGAAACAAGGTATGTTGTGTTTTTTCAACGTTATAAGAAAGTTTATTTGACCTGAACCAATCGTTTACTTTTTTTCATCAATGTTCTTGTCAACATATAGTTGCAGTTAGATAAAAATAGATTTGTATCATCTGCAAGCTTAATAGCATTTAGTTATACTGATGCATTGTTAAAATCATTAACATAAATTAAAAATAAGCGCGATTTATAAAATGGTTTGTTTTTCTTATACATGCAAAACATCAATAGCTCAGTGATCATCTTTATTGTTACATATGTGGAGGAAATTCCTACCGGTGATGTTTTTAGAACTTTTTAAACAATTTCAAAAATTTTCTACCTTTCGTTTAATATAGTATATAGTATGTGATATCTTTATATATGTTATATATTAGATACCTATAGAACCTCAAAAATGCTTTATTTTGTGGTTTTTAAAAATCAAAAAAGTTGAAAAAAAATCAATGCGCAAGCAAAAAGATTTGAATCACGGTGATGTACATCAAGATAACCACATCGGTCGACGTATTGATTGATAAATACTTTAACTCTATTTAATAAATTGAAAACTTTAGAAAATGTCAAACAAAATCTATAAATCAAAATTAAGGAAATAATGCCGCAATGCAATTTTTAAGTAAAAGTAAAACTTAACATATGTTTCAACATTACGTAATTTGAAGTTTGCATAAGTTAGATATTTGCATACACTTTCGATGACATTTTCTAATAAAAAAAGTGCAGCGACTCTATCTCGCCATAAACTTTGGCTACCGTCAAACACTCACGAATCATGATTTTTTATTTATTATGAAATTTTATAAAATTTAGAACTTTATTATTACTATTTTACTGTTTTAATTTATTGTTACAATTTATTTACTTTTTTTATTTTATTGAGAATGACATGATTATTTTTAACTATATATGGCGGCATTAACTGTATAGTTCAAAAAAAAATTTAAAATCTTATTCGCTGAATTTTATTATTAAAAGCCTAAAGTTAATATATACAAATAGTCTTTTATTTTTAAAAAGTTATAAAATTTAAAATCATGCAGTAAATCCTTTTTTTTTTTAAATTATGCATTAAGTCTTTTTTCAAATTGCAATTTTATGCAAAACTCTAATTTTTAATAGTTTATAAGAGATAAATTTTATAAGGTATAAAGAAACAAACAATAGATTTATAAACATCTATTTGTTTTAACTCTGATTAAATATTAACAAGTACAGAGCATAAAAATTGTTATCAAAGTAAAATATTTACAAGTCAAATGAAAGATTTTTCAAAATAAATTATAATTACGTTAAAAAAATTTAAAATATAAAAAACGACATTTTCTAAAAAAGAAAACTTTAATAACAAAAATAAAAAGCAGTGCACAAAAAAAGATTAATATTGTAAAAAATAATATCAAAATTAAAAAAAAAAAAAAATTGATTAAGGGCAGATTATATAAAATATTAAATTCTAGTTATTGTATTAGTCTTGTAAAAAAATCTTTATAATATATATATATATATATATATATATATATATATATATATATATATATATATATATATATATATATATATATATATATATATATATACATATATCTTTTATACTAAGAACCACTTTTTATGGATCTATCTTTGACATTTTGTAAAATAGTTTTAACACACACTTGATCAGTATGGTCTTCTTGTGGTTCAATATATAATGCTTTAGAAAATTTGTCGTCTCTTTCAAATTTCCAATCAGCTAAATTAGATCGGTAGTGAGCAGCCTCAACATGACGACCTATGTAATAGTTTGCTTAATTAATTAACTATGTAATAGTTTGCTAACTAGACCTATAATAAAATTACAAAAAAACAACAACAGGTTACCAGTTTCTTCATACAAATGTATCAACCCCCGGTAATCATATTCTAAACCACTGTACCAAACACCGAATAATTTTCTTCCTGTTAATAAATGCATTAAATAAAAATTTAAAAGCAAAAACAAAAAAAAATATATAAGGTGGAAAGACCAATAAACATAATAATTCTGAATTTTAATTTCAGAATCTCACCTATTTCAATAGATCTTTTATATAACTGTTCAGCTTCATCATACTTTTTCATGTCGTAGTTGTATAGAGAAGCCAAGTGACCAATGGAAAGAGCAACTTCATAGTCCTAATAAAATTGCCAATAAAAAAAAATTATTTAAAAGTTTTTATTCAAGGAGCAATAAGTTTAACTTGCAGCAATAAGTTTAACTTGCAGCAATAAGTTCAACTATGAGTGACAGAAAGTTATATATTAAAATATATATAAATTATATATAAAATTATATATTAAGATATAAATTATATATTAAAATATTAAAATTATATATAATTTATAATAAATTATAATATTTAAAAAAAGTACTAGTTTAATAAATAATTTCAGAAAAGAAGAAAACTCACAGAACAACTAAGAAGCTTTTCTTTGATATAAATTGCTTTTAAATGATTGGCTTCGGCTTCCTAAATAAAAAATTACTATTAATCTGCTTCTTAACAGTTTACATAATTTCCGAAAGAAAAGACATTGGAATAAATTTTTTTTTATTTATTTAATCTTGTTAAAACCTTCTTTCAACTCTGAAACATGAACAAACAACTTATAAAATAAGGGCTACACTGATTCATATTAAACATAAACTTAGACTTGCAACTGCTATTTCCTTAATTATCTCCAATAAATTTCACACAACCGGATAACATTAGGAAATTAGGGGAATCTGTATGGTGCATATTCATGATATTTGTAATGAAATAATAACAATCATTACATTGCCCTAATTGAATGATTTTCTGATGTGTAAAAAAACTTTAATATTATCAATAATCATCATAAGCAATAAGTTGTTTTAAAATCTTATAAAAATTTTTTTGAAATTCTTTTGAAAATAAAAATTTAATATATATATATATATATATATATATATATATATATATATATATATATATATATATATATATATATATATATATATATATATATATATATATATATATATATATATATATATATATATATATAAGGCATTTTTTAATGTCATAAATAAGCTATAAAATCTTATTCTATCAAATAATCTAACTAATTAATCTTCAAATCAATGTTTTTGAAACTTTTAACTAGTTGGTTAAAAATAAGGTAATAATTTTGATGCAGACTAACAAAGCATAAAAAAAACCAGTTAATAAAATCATTCTAAATATCTAATATAGTCAAGAAAAACAATAGTGCAGGGTTATTATTATATGTGAGTGTGAGTGCGAGTGCGAGTGTGAGTGTGTGTGTGTGTGTGTGTGTGTGTGTGTGTGTGTGTGTGTGTGTGTGTGTGTGTGTGTGTGTGTGTGTGTGTAATATAATGTGGTGTATTTGGAATATAAATAATTTTTTAATTCATGATAAATAAATTGATTTAAGTTATTTTTAGCTAAAAAAAAAAAAGTCTATAACATTAAAAAATCCTCTAAAAAGAGTTTTTTATTTAAATGTGTCATCAAATGTATCATTAAGTTGAAATATGTCATCAAATGTACATCAAGTTGAAATATGTCATCAAATGTACATTTAGTTGAAGTATGTAAATTAATGTACATTAGTTGAATTATGTAGTTAATTGTACATCAAGTTAAAATATGTAAATAAATGTACATTAAGTTGAAATATTCAATTAAATGTACATCAAGTTAAACTATGTAGTTAAATGTACATCAGGTATAAATATGTCATCAAATGTATCATCAAGTTGAAATATGTAATTAAATGTACATCAAGTTAAACTATGTAGTTGAATGTACATCAATTTGAAATATATAATTAAATAAACGTCAAGTTGAAATATGTTAAATGTACATCAAGTATAAATATGTGATCAAATGTACATCAAGTTGAAATATGTAAATAAGTGTACACCATATTGAAATATGTTATTAAATGTACTTTAAGTTGAAATAATGATAAAAAATATAGCATAAAATGTGTCATTTAAATTGTTATTAAATGCTTCAAATTTTATTATTTTCAGTGTTTTAACAGTTGGGGTGATTCTTATAATTATTATTATCATTGTTGAGTTTAATTATGTGTATACTAAAACTAACCTATTTGTGTATTTTAGTTTACATGTTATTATATGAAGAATAAAGCCTTTTATGTTGGCTTAAAACTAATTATAGACTATTTAATTTACTACACTACAATTTATTTTTCATATTTTAATAGATAAATATCTAAGACCAGAACGATTTGACACCAATCCTACTTCTGCACCAGCTTCTATAAAATGGTCACACTGGTTTAGAACATTTACAAACTTCATGAAAACTATACAAACAGAAGATAAATTAAATGTCCTCATTAACTATTTATCTCCTTCCGTGTTCGATTATATTGCTGACATTGAATCACTTGATGGCGCTATAGAAATCCTGGGAAACTTATTTGTAAAACCTAAAAATGAATTATTTTCCAGACATCAGTTAGCTTAATCTAAACAATCATCCAGAGAATCTATTGATGAGTTTTTGCAGGCCTTACGTACACTCAGTAAAGATTGCAAATTTAAAAAGATTTCTGCTTCAGAACATTGTGATGAATACATTCTTGATTCATTTATAAGTGGTTTAAGCTCTTATCATATTCGCCAATGACTACTTGAAAACTCTACTCTCAAACTTACTGAGGCCTATAATCAAGCTCGTTCATTGGAAAATGTAATGGAAAATGCTTTTTCTTACCACAATTGTTACATTTCTGCATCTCTGGCAGGACATGATTGTCGAGGGTGACGTTTACTTCCACAGAAATAACTTAGTCCACTAGGCTTAGTAGAAACTGAAGCAAACTCAGTAATACATTTAGAATGTTTATAAATTGTAGCAACATTACTATACTTTGTATGTGAATACATTTCATTATTTCTTTCCAATGAACGAGCTTGATTATGAAAAGAAATAATGAAATGAATTCACATACAGAGTATAGTAATGTTGCTACAATTAATAAACATTCTGAATGTATTACTGAGTTTGCTTCAGTTTCTTCTAAGCCTAGTGGACTTTTTTATTTCTGTGGAAGTAAACGTCACCCTCGACAATCATGTCCTGCCAGAGATGCAGAATGTAACAATTGTGGTAAGAAAGGGCATTTCAAGAAAGTATGCAAATTATCAAAGAACCTTGTTGCGCCTGCTACTTTATTTGGTATGAAGTACTCTAATATTATCTTTTTGGTTATAACCAACTCTTGTGAACAAATCATACTTGGCAGAGATTTCCTACAGTTGCACAAAAGTCTTTATATCAATTATGGTTGTAAAAAAGATTCTTTAAAAATCTGTTCTCTAAATAGTATTAAATTAAAAGCTAATACTCTTTTCCCTTTTCTATCTCCAGAATGTAGACCGATTGCTTCACCTTCTAGATGATATAACTCAGAGGACCATGAATTCATTGAGCAAGAAACTAAAAAACTTTTGGAACTAGATATAATTGAACCCAGTAACTCTCCTTGGCGATCACTAATAGTTGTTACAAGGAATGAGAGACATAAGAAACGCATGGTCATTGATTACTCACAAACAATAAATCGCTTTACACTACTTGATGCTTATCCTTAACCTAACATCAATTAATTAGTTAACTCTGTTGCAAAATATTTATTATTTAGCACATTTGATTTAAAAAGTGCTTATCACCAAATACCTCTCCTAGCAATAAACATCTTTTCCAATTTAAAAGAATTCCTTTTAACCTCACTAATGCTGTTGCACAATTTCAAAGAATCACGGGTAAGTTTATTAAAGAAAACAAATTAGAAGATACCTTTGTATATCTAGATAACTTGCTTGTATGTGGTACATCTAAAAATAAACATGATTTCAAATTTCTTAAAGCTTTTAAGAAAGCAATTTTTACGTTCAATGAAGAAAAGTCTATATTGTCTATTTCGTGAATAACCTTCCTAAGTTTTATTATAAAAAGTGACTCTTTTTCCCCTGATCCAGATTGCTTAAAGCCATTAATTGAAATGCCTGCTCCCACTGATAGTGCTTCTCTCCGTCAAGCCCTTGGTATGTTCTCATACTACTCCCAATATATCAAACATTATTCTGACAAAATTCATTCTTTATCTCTAACTTCTACCTTTCCACTATCAACTGAAGCTATTAAATGCTTCAATGAAATGAAAAAATTTATCTCTCAATCAGCTCTACAAGCTATCAATAAAAGTAAACCATTTGAGGTGGAAATAGATGCCTCCCATTTTGCCATAGCTGCTTTCCTTAATCAGGCTGGAAGACCAGAGTCATTCTATTCTTGCAAACTCTCACCTACTGAAAAAATCTTCTGTTGAGAAGGAAGCTTATACTATTGCCAAATCACTTCAAAAATGGAAACACTACCTTGTTGGTTGGCATTTTACTCTAGTCACCAACCAGCGCTCTGTCTCTTTCATGCTTGACAATAATAAGAGTGGAAAAATTAAGAATGACAAGATTCTGAGATTTCTATTTTTTATTTTAATTCACCTCCTTAAGGCCGAGAAGGCCACTACAGACAAGGAGGCTACTTATTTGTGGTTACAACCCTCTCTCAACTCTATAAGGCCGCTGTGCGGAAAAACGAGTTGAGTGCGGTACTACCAGGGACGTGGTGGGGATTGAAATCGGAACCACTTGTTTATGAAGGATAGATGGAGGATAGAACTTTCTTCGTACAGCTATGATATAGCTTATCCCCCTGTTGCTTAAATTTGCTGAGTTAAAACCTAAATACTATGTAAGCAATTTTAACCACACCTTAATAAAATCTACTCAACCTTTGAGCGACTATGCATGGATTTTAAAGGACCTATTCCGTCTTCATCTAGCAACAAATATTTTTTAACAGTTGTTGATGAGTTTTCAAGATTTCCCTTTGTATTTCCTTGTCATGATATCTCTACTTCAACCCAATTCCCAATTTTCTCAATTCTAGAGGTGTCAACCTGAGCAGTAACTACTCCATATAATTCTCAGGGAAATGGTCAGTATGAAAGATACAATGGCATAATTTAGAAAAGAATTTCGCTTGTTCTCAAATCAAAGAATTTACCTACCATGAACTGGGAACATGTTTTACCCAATGTCCTTCATTCGATGCGTTCCTTACTTTGGACTTCTACTAATGCTACACCTCATGAAAGATTATTTGGATTCAGTCAACATTCTTCTAATGGACACTCTGTTCCTACATGATTAACTAACTCGAGTCCTATATTGCTTAAAAGACATGTTTGACACAGCAAATATGAACCTCTGGTAGAAGAGGTTGAGCTTTTAGAGGCTAATAGTAAATATCCTCATGTAAGAATGCTTGATGGACGTGAGACCACTGTTGCTACAAGACATCCCGCAGCAACAGTTGATATAATCAGTGATAATGACGGAAATAATAACTCCAAAAATAATTCCAATGAATTTGATACAATACCTTCACCTGAGCTTCTCCATCCGAAAAGATCTCAAAACTTTTCTACTCTCTCTAACAAATCCTAATGGAATTTCTTTTGAAGAATCAGTCCCTTGTTGTTCAGGAAGATCCCGGAATCCTCCTATTTAAATGACTATATTTGAATAATTTGAACTTATTTACTTATTTTTTTTATTTAATATAGTAGAATGTGCTGTTTCTTATAATTATTATTACCCTTGTTGAGTTTAATTATGTGTATACTAAAATAAACCTGTTTGTATATTTTAGTTTACATATTATTATATGAAGAATAAAGCTTTTTATGTTGGCTTAGAACTAATTATAGACTATTTAATTTACTACACTACAACAGTTTTATCCTATTTTAAAAATAGAATATCTAAAACCTTTTAAATACTTAATAAAATGTCAAATAAAACCTCGTTAATGATTAACACTTCAGTTAACTAGTTTGTTTTAATAATTGGTACTTTTTTTTAAAAAAAAAACCATACATTCAACTATTATTTCAGACAACATTGCAGAGTATAAAGAACTTTATTTAATGTTATAAATATATATAATCTGCATAAATGCATTTGGATGGCAATGCATGACCCAATATGCATAATAATGTGTGTGACAAAGTTTTAATATAAGCTTTTAGTATGGATAACAAAATTCTAATATTTATGACAAATCTCTATTATAAACAACAAAGTTCTAGTCTGTATTTTCTAATTTATAAAATAATTTTGTTCTGCAAGTCAAAGTTCTTATATGTGAAATCTGTTTTTTGTTTTTTATCTTTTTAAAATATTTTTTTTTACTTAATTGCAATACATGTAAAAAGATTTTAGATGATAACTATAATATAAATGAGACAGTAGGGAAAATAGTAATGAAGATAATCATTTTTAATTCCACTCTACTTTTGAATTTTGTAAAAAAAATTGCACAAATGCTTTAAAAGCTTATTACACATTCACAATGGTTGGTTTTTGGTTGGGACAGACTAGCCATAATTTCCAATCATAAAAATAGAAAATCTTTTATTAAAGTATAAAGTATTATTAAAATATTAATACTCAGTAAATTTTAATTTGAAAATAAGTTTAAATTTTATGCACACCTTTCAGTTTTTATTTTATATTACTTTTCAATATGTATCTAGAAAAATGTAATGTTGTTGATTTAGTTTTCTAACAATTACTGAACACATGAATTTCATTCAAGCCACAATTTTGTTGGAAAACAAAAAATATAAAAACTCTAGGCTAAAAAAAATATTACCTTGGGTCATGATATTTTGACTTTGAACTATATTTAGATTGCTACTACTTGTAGTAGTTTCAAAACTCAAAAATTGCAAGGTATATGTTATGTAAAATGTAACAATAACTGCATAATATTAATAAAAAAACACCTTGTACTTTTTCATAGATTGATACAATCTTCCTAGATTACCATAATGCTTTGCTGTTTGAACATTATACTCACCAAATGTATTTCTAAATATATGCGTAAAGTATAATTACAGAAACTATGATGTGTGAATGCAACTTGATTTCCAAAGAAAAAAAATTAGAATAAGTCAATAAATATAATTACAACTATTACTAACAGCTTAAATTTTAGAAAAATTACTCAAAATTATAAATATTTTAAGCTGAAATTGTTTGCAATTTTTTTTTTAGTAAAACAGTTTAAAATAAGTAAAAAAATCAACATTTGTTTTTCATATTTCACATCTTTTCTCAATGTATGCCAGTAAAATGTTTTTTGAAATTTAAAATGATCAAAATTATCATTTGCAAACATTAAAGAAACAAAGTATTTAACATAACTTCATAAATAACAGATGTTTGAATGATTATTGGTGATTATTTTACATGATTAAAATGATAATGATTAAAAAAAGATCAAAAATCATTTTCATACGGTTTTTTACTTAATTAATTTTTAATTTTTTTATAGAAAACTATTAAAAGTTTCGAGAATTCTGAAACTATTTGGAATTAGCAAAAGATCTGGGGAGTGACATTCCACGGATGTGACTTTTCATAATCTGTTGAACATTAATTATTCACTGAAAATACTATTAGGATTGGTTTTGATAAGTTTAACATTGTATAAGCTGTAAATTTATTATTTGTTAAATAAAAAGTAAAAACAGTATTAACTTAAAAAAAAAAGTGATGACAGTACATTGGTATCTTTCAGGAGAATGACCCATATAACCTCATACGATATAATATAACTACAAATGCAAGAATGATTCTTGAACCCATAAAACAAGTATATCTAATAAATGCTTTTTATATATCCTATTTATTTACAGTATATACTACTACTGACAATAAGTGATTAAGATACCTGAATCATTTCTTTTACCACCTGCATATGCAGAGTAATTTAGATTTTTATTTCCCCTAAGTTTATTTTATTCTTTATTCAACATTTTACGTATTATTGGTATAAATTGGTATAAATAAGTAATTAAACAAGTAGAAAGAACAAATATATACAAAATCAAGTTTATTTTAAAAACGTACTTTGCTAAACGTAATGAATCCATATGAAGACTTTCTGCACACTTTAGCAACCTGTCTTCAACAATTGGGTCATCACTATCAATTGCAACTTCTTCCAAAATTAAAGCTAAACAATCAATTTTTTTTAAATTAAAACAGAAATATAACTTTAAAACTATATGTGGACTTAGTAAAACACTCATCTCACAATCAAGATGTTCCACTCTACACTTCTAGTACCGCCCTCAACCTGTTTATCCACATAGTAGCCTCGTTAATACTTTGTTAAAATTAAAAGTTATTTTATTAAATAAATACTCATAAAAATATAACACTTTGCTTTTTAACTAAAAACTAAAACTTTTGTTTACTTCTTTTAAAGCAGTCAAAGATGGTATTTATTATGATAGTATATATATATATTGCCATATATGGACAAAATGCATACTTTTTCTTTAAAGAAAACTAAAATAAAACTCAAATGCACTCACACACTCAAATAAAGAAAATCCATAATAATTTATTTAGGTTGCAGTAAAATTTCAATCCAACGACTAAAGGTTTTGCAAGTGTTGCCAGCTATGTGGGTAATTAGATACTGTCCACTCTACCCTTATATTGAAAAAGATTACATTTACCTAAACCAAACCTTAAAACCTGCACCAAAAAAATCCTTCAAATTTTTAAAAGATTTACTGAGAATTAAACCAAACAAGAGCAAATAAAAGTTCTATGAATTCAATTGCAGATTGCAGCAATTGTATTGTTCAACCATTGAATTCAATTGTAGTACTATTGAATTGGTAGAGTTTTTATTTCACATATCATTTTATTGTAATAAAAAATAATTTACCTTCCACTCTTTTAGATGATGAAAGCAACAAATGATCAACTGGAAGGATTTCTAACAGCACCATCAAAGCTTGCTCAGCATGAACCCTTAAAAAAAGTCATTTTTTATCCTCATTGAATATATATATATATATATATATATATATATATATATATATATATATATATATATATATATATATATATATATATATATATACATATATATATATATATATATATATATATATATATATATATATATATATACATATATATATATATATATATATATATATATATATATATATATATATATATATATATGTATATATATATATATATATATATATAAATATATATATATATATGTTTATATATATACATATATATATATATATATATATATATTTATATATATATATATATATATATATATATTTATATATATATATATATATTTATATATATATATATATATATATATATATATATATATATATATATATATATGTATACATATATATATATATATATATATATATATATATATATATATATATATATACATATATATATATAAATATAAATATATATATATATATATATATATATATATATATATGTATATATATATATATATATATATATATATATATATATATATATATATATATATATATATATATATATATATATATATATATATATATATATATTACTTTGCATAATTACGAGGTGTATTCAAAAATTAAGGTGACTTTGTATTTTTAAGAAAAAACATCAATTTATTTATCAATATTTATTTTGTCCCCTTCAAAGTAATCCCCATCAGATACAATACACTTATGCCAACGGTTTTTCTAATCCTCAAAGCACTTCTCATAAGTACTTTTTGGTATAGCCTTGAGTTTATCCAGCGATGCAGTCTTTATCTCTTCAATTGTTGCAAATCTCTGTCCTTCCATAGGTCTCTTTAGTTTTGGGTACAAGAAAAAGTCACATGGGGCCAAATCCAGTGAATATGGTGGCTGAGGCATGATTGTGGTGTTGTTTTTGGCCAAAAAATCTCTCACAAGCAAAGATGAGTGAGCAGGGGCAATATCATGATGCAAAAGCCATGAATTGTTTTTCCACAATTCTGGACGTTTTCTTCGTATTGCTTCTCGCAAACGGCACATAACTTCAAGATAATACTGTTTATTGACCGTACAACCATATGGTAAGAACTCCTGATGCACCACGCCATGGTAATTGAAGAAAACAGTGAGCAAAACTTTGACACTTGATCGAACTTGGCGTGCTTTTTTTGGCCTTGGCTCACCTGGGCTCTTCCAATGGGACGATTGGGCTGACGAATATATCCATATTGGTGACGAATATATCTGCTTGAACCTTTACTGCTTGAACCTTTTTATCAGATGTTGACGTGGTTGGGCGTCTAGAGCGAGGCTCGTCATTGGCATCTTCCCGGCCATCTTGAAAGAGTTTGTACCACTTGTAAACATTTTTTTTACTCAGAACAGTTTCACTGTATGCCACTGCCAACATTTCAAGTGTTTTGGAGCACTTTATTTTATTTTTTACACAAAATATGATGTAAACTTTTTGATCCATATTTTTCGATAGTAAAAAATCGCAGAGCACGCAAAACACTTATAACCTTAAAGCCTCTCACAACCAAACAAAAAATGCTATACATTCAAAAACTTGGTACAGATGTTTGAGAAGATTGTACCAACATGACAAAACAAAAAATCGATAATTGAAAGTACGTTGCCAGCGAAATTTGAAAAGTCACCTTAATTTTTGAACACACCTCGTACACCTAGGTATATATTTATACATCATAAGATATATATATACATCTGCTATATATATATATATATATATATATATATATATATATATATATATATATATATATATATATATATATATATCTGCTAAGGTTGTTAAATCTCTTTATCAGGCTTGACACTTTTTTACTCCGGATTCTATTTTCTATCTCTACAAATCTCAAATCCGGCCTTAAATGGAATAGTGTTGCCATATCTGGGGTGGATCTTCAAATGATGCTCTTTCTCTTTTAGACAAGGTGCGAAAATGTATTGTAAACATAGTTGGACCTGCTTTTGCAGCCAACCTCCAACCATTATCATATCATCGTAATGTTGCTTCTCTTTCTCTTTTCTACAAATGGTATAATGGGCACTGTTCTAAAGACCTAGTGTCTCTTGTGCCATCTACTAAAATTCATTCTCGCGTTATTTGTCATTCAATTAAGTCTCATCCTTTTTCTATGATTGTTTCTAAATGCTCCAAAAATTCTTATTCCTCTCAATTTTTTCCTAGAACATCAATTCTTTGGAATTTGCTTTTTTCATCTTGTTTTCCTGATTCTTATAATTTACAATCTTTTAAGTCATCTGTTAATCGTTATCTTGTATACAATTAAATCAGTTATATTCTTCTTACCTTTATATCATGCATAAGATTAAAAAAATGTTATTTAGTATATTTTTTTATTGGTTCTAGGAAATTTGAATGAATTTGATTTTCAAACATTTTTCAAAATAAAAATTTTTTCATTTTCACCAAAAAACTTAAAGCTTTAAATTTACAAAAAATATTTATCTTCAAGCATATTTGCTTTTTTTTTTATTTCTCCATAGCAAAGTCTACAACTAAATCTTTAAGTAAAAAACTTCTAAAAACTTTCTCTCTGAAAATCTAATCAATACAGATTTCCTCAATCAATACACTGATTCTCTTACAAACATTCTAATTCTCTTGTTCTATTTGCTCACTTAATTATTCTATCAGAAAAAAATTAAAAGAAATAGATAAAACCTTTAATAATAAACCAAATCAAATTAATTGAAGTCTGAAAAATATAAATTACTTGTGGGCTAAGAAGCGCCTAAGATGAACTTAAATAAAACTTTATACAATAAAAGTGTCAAGGGTTTTGACAGCCAACTAATAGAGGAAAAGTGCATCTAAGTCCTTGTCGCATGCTTGAAAAAAATTTTTTTTTAAGCATGCGAAAAAAAAAATTTGGTTTCCTATATTTCTACGTGTTTACAAATGATATTGCTGTCATAAACTGTTAAAAATTTTAATTTTTTGTGAAATATTATTGATAGATAATTGTTTTTGCTGCTGTAGTATCACTGCCAATTTTACCCTCTATCTGGGGTAACTTTGACAGTAAAATGTTTTATGCTTTAAATATTAAAAACACCTTATAAGGGTAACATAATAATTGTAATTTTGACAAATAAAATAGAGAAATCATTTGAAATATATACTAGCACCAACCTACAATTTCTTTTTAAATTACCACTTTTAAAAAAAATGTAAAATAGAGCTGAAAACATTACAAAAAATTTTTATTTGAAAGATATCAAATAGATTCAGTTCTGATAGTGTGTACTTGAATATATAAAAAAGTAAGTTTATTTTTTTATGTTTTGCTTTTTTTGGTTGATTCCATCTCAATTTTGCACAAGATTCATCAGATGTCACACATTCCGCCAATGTTCTCTTGATTTATTTTTCGTCGCTTTTCACAGGTTTCGTGTATTAAAGATGTTTCAAAAGTATGGCTTTTAGTTGTTTTCATAGAGTCAGAACTTCCTGTATTTCATCTGAGCTTGTGACTCGCATTGGTACGGAGCTTATATTATTTATGTCATTGATTGCCTTTGTAATCTTATTTTGATTTCAGTTATTACTTGCGCAAAAAATTACAATGTCAGAGGCTCTGAAGTCGACAATTTCTTACTGATTATTTTACTTCGTTTTAGTGAAAAAATCTCACAAGTTTCAAAAACCATTATAGCATTGCTTAAACTGAACGCCTCACTGTCTGTAACTAATTTCAGTAAAAGTCACTTTATCAACATTTTTGTCTTGTGTTGAATCATAAAAGGTTTTCAAACAATTCCAGTCTGACTGTCTTAAAAACACCTCCATTTAAAGGCTGTAAAATAATACTTGTATGGCAGGTAAAAAAAGTAGCTGAATGTTGTTTGCATTACCATAGTCTACAACAGCTTTTGATATGTGAGAGTTTTGTCCACCTAATATTAGAAGCTTCAATCCTTTTAATTGGTCTGGGGATAAACATCTTTTTGAACCATTCAATGAATTGTGGGGGGAAGGGGGGGGAAGGGATTCCATCCAACCTAAAGGAGCTAACAGTTGCAATGTGCATTGTCTGGACTGCTATTGCACCAGGTTCTGTAAAGGAGAAGACCTTTATAAACAATGTATGGTGATAATTGATGGTTGCAGAACAGCATACCTGCACTGTGAAAATTGTTTTAGTTAAAGTACCAACTGTTTTATATGGATTCTTTATTCTGCATTTGCAGAGAATTTTCTGCTTGCCTATGTTGGTTTGAAATCCTGTTTCATCTACATTCAATATATTTTGTGGCTTATTCTGTAGATTAATTTTTTTAATAACAACTGCTAGTTTTTCAACAAAGCCATCAACTACGCTAACATTGCATGGATATGCAAGGTTTGCAGGATGTCTATTGTTTACAGGATTTGTTTAAGGTTTGCAGGATTCATTGTTTTTGTTTATAATTATGAGTATAAAAATAGTTGTTCATTCACGTTCAAGATTCAGATTCAACTGTCACGTTGGTTAAAATAATTTTAAACAGTATTCAACTGGAGACTAGTAAAAAAAATAAGGATAACATGTTTCAATGTTACCCACCTGGCAATGTAACTCCTTATATATACAAACACACTTTGAATTAAACACCAAAAAGAAAAACCAAAACACTTTCTTTTTTTCTTTCATGCAAATCTTTTTTTTTTAATGCAGTACAAAATCATCTCCTCTTATGTTAAAAATAGATTTCTTATCTGGTTTGGTAGAAAAAAAAAATTAATTTATGTTTCTAGGAAAAAGTGAGAATATACAACTCTTTTTTTATAAATGAATATTTACAAATAATTTTTTCTTTTATCTAGAGTTTTTATATACTCATACATACATATTTATATATACTCATACATACATACATAAAATATTAATATAATAGTACCTAGCATGTTCAAAATCACCTTTACTGTAGTCTCGCACATATAAAGCATAAGCCAGATCTTCATGCGTCATTGCAGTTAATATATTTTTTTCGCCTAATTGTTCTTTACGAACACTTAAAGCCATCTGAAAAAAAGTGAATATATAAAGTCTTTTCAACAAACTCTTTGTCAGAATAGAATGCATTAAGCATTTTTTTTCTTAATAATGTCCTATGAGCTTATCTAGCAAAAAAAAAAAAAAAAAAAAAAAAAAGAAAAATAAACATTTTTATTAAATATTGTAGTAAATATTTAAGAGATATTTAGGAGATTATTATTGTACTAAAAATAAGATTGTTATTAATAACTACAGTAAACATGTGATATTAATTTAAAAAAAATTACAAGTTAACCCTCAGAAACGTTAGTTGTAATATAAATACAAAAACTAGTTACATAATGGATGTTCAATAAAAATTGGTGAAAGTTATAAACTCATAACTTCCTAAGTTTCTAAGCTACATAAAATAAAAATATATTTATGTAAAATACTTATTTTTTTTAGTTTCATACCAAAATTCTTCTATCAGTTGAAGAGTTTTTATTTTTTCAATTTTTCAAATTTAAAGACAGCTTTTCAGGTTTTTCACGTAAAAAGTCTTTTCTTAGGTCTTTTATGTAAAACGTCTTTCCTTCGATCTTTTACATAAAAGACAATAGTTGTTTCTTGATGCTCTAAGTAAAGATTTTTGTCACTGGAAAAGCATTGGAGCCAAAATAAATCTTGACACTCCTTTATAAGAAACCTACAACCAGACAGGTCTTTTTTGAATACATTTGTAATTTAATTAAAAAAGTATTTTGCTTTTACTTTATCCTAGCATGAGTTTGTTCAAGGGTGCTTGAGTGAAAAATGCCAATATCATTAATTGTGCTGTGAGCTAATCTGAAACAAAATTTCTATCAGAAAAAGTACTTTAGTGTATCAGAAAGAAAATTTGTAACAAAATAGATTAATAGTATTTAATATATATATAGAGTATATAGTAGTATATAGTATATATATATATATAGTATATATATATATATATAGTATATAGTATATATAGTAAATTAATAGTATTTAAGAATAAGTAAACTTTTTAGTGGATTTTAATCATTAATCTTTTTGCACATTTTTGTTACACAGCAGTAACATTATTGTTCAGTTCTGACAACTGTCTGATCAGACATCACAGCATAAACAGTAACATCGGACAACTGCATCAAAATGATATTCTTGTACACAATGTTTTCTATATTATAAGAGAAACTCGCACACCAAAAACTAAATAAAATACCAGTTAATGAGAATAATATACATTTTTTTCAACATACATTTTTTTGTCAAACGTTTAAATATTTATAATATATATAATATAAGCCTTTAATGTCTTTCTTTTTGTTTTTCATGATCCTTTTTTCTACCTTCGGCATCCTTCACTATCTCTAAAGACTTTTTTTATCTTTTCTTATTTCTCACACAACTGCATTTCAAATTAATCAGCATTTCAACTGCATTTCAAATCAACCACCTTACCTCTTTTGATTAGCATTTTGTCTTTTTTTAAATATCTGCTTAGTTTCTACTCATTCTTCTTTAAAACTTATTTTTTTCATCAACAAATTTTTGTGTGATTTTTTTTACTCAGTACTTTTTCTTTTTGACAACTGTTGTAGATTCAGAACTTAGTATTCAGACTCATTTGCATAGTTTTCTCCATCTTACACAGTTTCTATTTATGATTTTTAATGTCCATTTTTTAAAAATAATAAGTAAAAACACATTTTTTCTAGTAAACCCAACACAAATAGTTTTTGCCTGAAGTTTTTTTAGGAGTAAATTTGTTAAAATAAAAAAATATTTTTAAACAGTCTGCATAATTTGTGCACAAAAATAAAGTCTACCTTTAAGATAAGGGACTCACTTACCTCATAACATTTTACTGATAGTCCAACATTATCAATTATCAGCATTATCAAGTGACTCACTCACCTCACAACATTTTACTGATTGTCCAACATTATCAATTATCAACATTATCAAGGGACTCACTCACCTCATAATATTTTACTGATAATCCAACATTATCAATACTAAGAAGATAAAAAGCAAAATCAGAAAGACAGTCTGCATATTTTAAATGGTGTATTCCAAACCAATATCTGAAAAATGAAAAAATAAATATTTAAAAGAAAAAAATGTTAAGCGCAAAATAATTTTAAAAACAGATTAGTAAACAATTCACGTGATTGACTCAATTAAAATGTTTAATTACAAATGAATGATGTAAAATTTATGTTAGACAATGGCAAATATTTAAATTAATTAGTTTAAAACATGTCAAAATATTAGCAAACAATCTACAGACATAACAACACAACTCTAATTTATAACTTTATATTGTAAATACCTATATTATGTTGAAATTGTAGTAGTATTATTGAAACAAGCATGCATACTACATGATATATTAATTTAACATCACAATGAATACTTAACTTTTTATTTGTTCCAAATCTAATTGTATTAGGAAGACAAATCTGTTGGTATTCTTATGTACAAACAGACTGGTATATATTCTAAGCAACTTTAACAGTTTTAGCATTTGCTGTCATTTTTAGTTTTATAAAAGTAACTAGCAATAATAATAAACCACATGTATAGACGTAAGTCACTAAAGTGTCTATATTTGTTGAAATACTGAAATGAAAGTTTTTTTATTAGAGGTACCCACATAAAGATTGACCAATAAAAATTCTTAATATTGTGGATAATATTGTGTGGATGATAATAACAAACAAATATGCATAACATGATATAATAATTTAACATTGCAATGCGTTTTTTAGCTTTTTAAAGGAAAAAATGAAAGAAAGTAAGAAAACAAAAAAAAAGTAAAGAAACAAATGAAGTAAAATTTTTTCATTTTAAGAAACTATTTTTTTTTTACAAACTAACAGACAACAATGTCTTACTACAAAATTACAGAGTAAAGTAGAAAATGACACAAGACACCATTGCTTGTGTAATTATTGCTAAACATTGCTTTGTTAAATAACATAACATGCAATAATTTTCTTTATAAATCACTAAAAAAAAAAACACAGTTCTCAATGTCCATTGTTAAAAATTTAGAGACCTAAACTCTACAAACATCAACAATCTGATAACAATGGTAAATAATATCTCTGCAAGTACATAATATTAAATCAAGGTTAATAACTCTGTTGAATAAAAAGTAAATCTTGAAATTAATTTATTCTCTAATTCTCTAGAAAAAGTTTCAATTAATATAAAACACAGGAAAATAGCTGACTTATAATAGAAACTATATAAACAATGCATTTAAAAGAGTTGTCATAGAAACTATATAAACCTTGCCAGTTTCAAAGCTTCTAAAGTATATACTCTGGCTTCACAAAATAACCTTTTGATAATGCATGCTTTACAAGCTTGTCGTAGTGTGTCAACAATTATCTATAAAACAAATAATGACATTTTGTTTTGTATATGTAATCACCATGGTTTTGTATATGTAATCACCTATTACTAAATGATTTTATATCAAAACATTTTATAAAAGAAAAAGAAATTACTTTTGGCGGTAAACTATCATTTAGTTCTTGAACTGCTTGTAGAGCTAAATTGTATGCCTGAATAAAATTAATACATCAATATAGAAAACATATAAATGTGAAAAAAAGAAATTACAAAATAAATATATATAAATATTGATTTGAATGTTTATTATTGTTTCATACTGGTATTTTACTTATTTCATTTTATTGATATATATATTTTTTTTATCAACTGATTTATTTAGGGATAAATGCAGTGCAATTTAATAATAAAAGAGCAGATATTTTGTTCATTTGTTATATGAAAATATGTTTAACACATTTTAATTTAAGTCAATATTCAACAAAAAGCTGTCTATATAGTGTTTTATAATATATTTAAAAAATATTTTGTTTACATATAAAACTATACCCGATAAAAAGTTGAAAAAAGAAGTAAAATAAATTAATGAACAAAAAAGTAGTTTTTGAAATAAATATCATTTCTAATAGCAATAAAAATAGATAACAATATAAAATATGTAAAAAATAAGTAAAACCATTTATAAAAGTATTTGAGAGACCTGTATCATGCCTCAGTTACTTCTGAGAATGATAATGTCATACCTTAGTTATTCAGTTGTGTCTGCCTCAGTTACTTTAGAGAGTGATAGTGTTATGCCTCAGTTTATTTAAATGAGTTTAAAATACAAGAAGTAAACTAGTATTAAAATGTGTGTTAAGAAAAAGTTGTTGAAATGATTTGTAAATCAAATGTAAATTTGTAAATCAAATGTAAATTTGTAAATCAAATGTAAGCTCATAACTTACAACATTTAGATTCATTTGTGATGAGTATTTTTTGCACATTTTTGTATTTTTTTAATTTTAATTCACCTCCTTAAGAACGAGAAGGCCACTACAGTTAAAGAGGCTATTTTAATTGTACAACCTCTATTAACTCTATAACTCTGAAACAGGAAGCCTCGATGGCCGCTGCAAGGAGAAAGGACTTGGGTGTGGCAGTACTAGGAACGTGGGAGGGATCAAGCTCAGAACTTCTTGCTAATGAGGCAAATGCTCAACCACTATACCACTACCACATATCGATTTACTTAAGTCTTAAAAGATTTTAGGCTGACATTGTTTTAAAACAACCAAAAGATTTTTACACTGATTTTAATTTATCTAATTTAACATAAAATTTATTTTAACTATAATAAATATAAAAAAGATGTTTTTATAGCATCGTAAAAAGTATACTTAAAATTTTGCAAATTAATACTTGGAGTAAAACTTAAAATATCCTTTTGTATGCTGACGGTAATGAGTTTTGTAATTAAAATCAAAAATTCAAAAAATATATATCTTTTTATGCTGTTGTTTTCTAAAAGTTTTCATGATTGTTTAATTCATCAACTTAGACAAAGTTATACTGTAAAATTGTTTAGGTTGATTATTTTTCCATGATTAACACTCATGGAAAATTACAGGTTTGAAAAATGTTATGATGTTATTAAACTTCATGATGGTTTCATAATGTAGAACATGTGCTTTGTCTAAAAGTATGTGAACTAAATACTAAATTGTAAGTAATTTCTGTATGTAAAAATAGGTAATGAGGTAATGAAAAAATATTTGTTTGTTTTTTCTTTAAATTTCATATCATGAATAACAAGTCAAGACACATTAACAAAAAGTTGACATTTATCTATTTAAGTTAAACTACAAATCAATTTTTATGCCTTTCTTGAACCTGTTTGTTTAAATTTTCACAAAAATGTATTAGCTATATTAATCTACTTTATTGTTAGCTTATCAATGCATATTTCTCTAACAGAATTTATCCTTCTTCATTTTCAATGTTATCCAAATTAATGAAAAAATTGTTTTTGATCAACTAGCTTTTATTTCTAACAATAAAAATTTTTTTCTTTCTAAAAAGTACTTAACTTGTTTAATTTCCATAAAATCAGATTTTATGGAAAAATAATTTTCTTGATTCATTCTTTATAAATATGGGCTCTGAGCAGTGCTTTATCTCAAATGAAAATCTAAGATAAAGCATAAAAATGTCAAAGTTTTATTAAGTAATAATCTTTAAATATGTTTTTTTAAATGCTTGCTATTAATACTTGCCTTCAATGTTTTTTAATAAAAATTTATTTTTATTTTAAGTTAATTCTAACTTGATGACCTCTACAAAAATGTAAATGAAAAAATTAGGAATACAATTTAAACTGATAAGTTATCATAACATATATTCATAACAAGACTTATTAATATCTAGATATAAAAAAAAATTCTTTAAAACAGGACTTGAGAAGATAAATAACATTAAAACAAGTAGCATCCTCAATTGTAGTAGCTCCCTTGGCCATGAGAAAGTAAATAACAAGAAAAAAAATTAAAAGATTATTAAAAGTCATTGTTCCAGGATACCGTCACACACAAATATATGAACAAGTAAGACATGAAAAAGTAACACATATGTTTAATCACATACATAACACTTTGAATATATGTTTGTATATATGTAATATAACAATATGTTAAACAATTAAAAAATATTTGATGATATAAAATTTCATAATATAACTTTTTGTTATATTTAGAGTGTGTATAATTGTTGTATCAAAAAAGTGTTTTATATTTTGATATTTATATGTAAATTATTTTTAATATATGTTAATTATATTTAATATTTTATATTTTAATAATATACTTGTAAAACTAATTTAATGAAATTTAAATCTGATTTGACTCAGATAAATATATATAAATAAATAAAATTTTACCATACTTTAAAATATTAAAAAAAAAAAAAAATGAAAAATATTTAAAATATTAAAAAAAAAATATATATATGATAAGAAAAATATGATCAAATATAAATTAAATGTTTAAAGAAACACAATAAATTAATAATCTACCTTATCATATTGTGATAAAGAAAACATATACATGCTACATAAAGTGTAGTAGAATGCACAATTTGGCTTCAAATTACAATTTTGCATATATGTCAACAAAATTGAAGCATTTAAAATAGCAGTATTAGCATCGTTGTAATTACAATTAAGTGTCAAAACATGACCAACTCTAGAAAAAATAGCAAGAACTATAATATCAATTATTTTTGTGCCAGCAATTTTTATAAAAAATAGAAGGGAGGAAGTTTTATTACCGTAATGCAACTTCAAAGGCAATAGATAGAATGTTATTGTCAATATTTCCATTTAAATCAACAATATCAATGCTCTGGTAAACAATTTTGGAGCAATCATACAAACCATGTTCCAAAAAAAATGCACCTTGAAAAATAAAAATCATTGTCATAGAAATTTTGATAAAACAGATAACCAGAAATATTTTCAAAAAAACAAACCATGGTAGTTATAACTTACAGTAAAAATAACCCAAAAAACAGTAAAATTATTTTAAGGATCATTTGAAAGTTTAAAAAATATACCACTTCACATATCTTGCAAATCAGAAAAAATACAAGCTTTATACATAGTAATAAAATATACAGTATAAAGCTTATATTAGCCCTCAAAATTAGGAATACTTTAAATTGCCTTTAGCAACCTAACTGCTAACCTTAAAGTGTCTGAGATCAGATTTGAAGATTTTTTGCAGACCTCATTTCTATGTTGCTATGGTGAAACCTTTGTGTTAAAAAACATTTGTGCAAACCTAATGCCAACCCAAATTAATTTATAATCAGCAATTTACTGTCAAAATATTTTTTTTAATACCGAGAGTTTAGAGCATATAAAGAGCTTTATATCTTTATGTCTAAACTTGGCTTTGTAATTTAGGATTTAACCAATTACCTTTCAAAATATAAAATTAACTTGGTTTTTGTATTTTTAATTATCTTTAACAAAAATGGTTAATAAGTAATTTTAAAATATGTTTATGTTTAATTAAACTAATTTTGTGGAAGAAACATGTTTAACACATGTTTTTTCCACAAAATTAGTTTAATTAGTAAAATTAATATAAATTTAAACTAGCAAAGACATTTTTTTTTTTGACTTGTATAAAATAATAGTAAAAATAGTAACTAAACCAGTTTTAAGTAATAAAACCAGTTTTAAATAATAAAATATATTAAGATTTTAAAAGTTAACAATCTAAAAACCGTGCTGAAAAAATCAAAACAAGAGAATGAACAATTTGAAAACAATGTTTTTAACTTTTGAATGAATTACTTTGAAAACAATGTTTTTAACTTTTGAATGAATTACTAATAATAACAAACTTCAACATATCATGATTGCTTGTATTATTTTTACAATGAATGCTTCAAGTAAACTTTTGAATCTTTTTCAATAAAAAATTATGTTATTTAATTTAAATAATCTAACTTAATATAAAACTTTGACTTGATAAATTTTTAGTTTTAATAATACAGCTTATTGAATGAAAATTTTTTTCAGAATTAAAACTGTTTTAGTAAATACTAACACACCAACAAAACATATTAGACATATAAATTTAACTTTTAAATAAACATATTAGACATATAAATTTAACTTTTAAATAAACATATTAGACATATAAATTTATCTTTTAAATAAACATATTAGACGTATAAATTTAACTTTTAAATAAACATATTAGACGTATAAATTTAACTTTTAAATAAACATTTAAAAAAAAAAAGAAGAGTATTTGTTGTGATTATTGAAAATAGTGCAAAAATTATTTACTTAGGTTTAAAAGAAAACATAATAGAATAAAATTAATATTCAATAAAACCAATAAAAACTACGAGGTGTGTTTGTTTTTGAACAAAAAACTAAAGAGTGTTATTATTGAATTTATTATTAAATTCGGAAAGTTTTCATATCAATAATTGTAACACCTAAAAAAAACATTTATACCCTAGTTTTAATGAAAATTTTTATATTGATTGTTAAATTTTATTGATTGATTTATGTTCACTTAGAAATCAATGAATGTTACAATAATAGATTTAAACCTTGAAATTTTAGAGCAAATAAAATAATCGCCTATATATTTATATGTTCATCAGCGTGTTAGCCAGTCATAAATTTTACACAGCGTTTATAGAATATTGAGACTTTATATCAACTTATATCTCATTTGCCCCTCTTACCTGATTCCGGAAAGGCCTTAAAATATATACCTTTATCATATACCTCAATATATACCTCTCAATAGAAGACCATTACATAATAATTAAAAAAAAAAAATCTATGACATCAATCAATCTATGACATCATATAAAACATCATTGAACTATGACAACTTTACGAACTTTTGCTTAGCAAAAGTTTTTATCACTTTCATCAAAATGGGTTCTCTCTGCACAGATTTTCTTAGTTACACAGATGTATAACAACTAGGACAAATTATTACAGATTGTCAATTACAACTAAGTATAAATAAAAATATTTTAAAATACAAAAAAGTATATAAAAAATAAAATATTATTTTTTATAATTTCATTGTATTCCTTTTTATCATAAAACTTCCATTATTTTTTTTGTCACTTTTATTTAATTAAATCATAAAAAATTTATCTATATATTGTATTTAGAATTATCTCAAATTTTTATTTACAATTTATTAATAGATTAAATTTTATAATTTGATTTTTGTGTACTAGATGTTTATATTTTCTCTGAATAAAATGGTTTTCCTTTAGTTATCATATAAAAACTAACATATAAAAAGGCAAAAAGGTTGGATACTAACTCTGGCCAAATAAACAACAATAAGGTATCGTGAACTTTCTGGTTAAATGCTCTTCATATAAATGAAATATTTGTTTTTAATGATCTTTTTCAATGGGGGGAGGGGGAGTTGTTTGTTTTATTTTTTAGATTGACAGTCTTTAATAAAAACAATGGTTGCCTTATATATCTTATTAAAATTTATTTAATAAATAAATTTTGTGCTGCAATTTTATTAAACTTAAGTAAAATTATAACTATTAAATTATTTTTATTTATAAAATTTTTATACGATAGCTGTGTAGTGGTAGAGCTTTGTATGCAAGAAATTCAATCTATATCACATCCATGGTAGTACCACATTTGTTCCTCACGGTTTGTGTTTTGTAGTTAAAGAGGGTTGTAACCAAAACATAAAAAGACATTTAAAAAAAACGCTCTAAATTTTTTTTCATTCTAACCATTAATTTACACTTATAGTCAACATTATGAACCTTTAAAAACCAGAAAAATATTTTAAATTTACTTCAAAAAAACACTAAAAGTATACAAATTTGTACCAGATGATACAACTTTAAACACTAAAATTAAAAAAAACTAACCTAATTGCAAAGCCTTGTAAGTAAACTCAATTATTTTCAAAGGATCTCTAATGTATTCAGCAGCTTTTTGTGAAGCAAGAAGTATGCCAAAATTAGGACGTTTAACTAAAAGTATGTGCACACATTTGTGCACTATATTCCTGAAAAAAAAAATCAATTCTTTTTTTAACTATAACAAAATTGCAAAAAAAGTTTTTAAATTTTTTTTTCAAAGATTAAGATTATTTGGCAATTTACAACTGGTAGGTTGGTAACTAATGATAACTAATGGTGGTAACTAATGATAAGTTACAACATAATTTTATTAAATTTTAAGTTATTTGTTGCGTTACTGTAGCATTTATAGCTACACACAAGTTGTAATTATATCTTGTAATGTGATAAATTTATTTAAAGTTTCTAACTTGAGTAGAGAAATGTAAGTTTTTTCACTTGCTGAGACTTTTTTTTGTTTAAGCCTACAAAATTTTTACTTTTTCATTTTTGAACAATATTATCTAAAATTAAAACTAAACTAGTTACCAGTTCTCTGTGTCTTTAATAGCATTTTCGAAACGTCTCAAATCAGAAAGTTCAAAATGTAAATTATCCGTCAAACATAAATTGTAAGCCTAAAAAAAAAATTAATGAAAATTTTTCAATAAAATAGAGTAAAAACAGGTCTCTAAATGAACAGTTTTTGAATAAATTGAACCATTTTTTTTTTCAAAAGATTTTTTTTTTATTTAGATAAAAGATAAGAAGCATTTGATCTACAAGAATATATAAACTTTATTTACAACTTAATTTTTATGTTACATTTAAAGTAAAAAAAAAAAAAGTTTAATTTTAGATAACTTTACATTAACTGTCTTTTTAAGTTTAACACGTTTTGATTGGTCAATTAAATAGTCCAATTAATTACATTAATTACAATGAAAAGGTGTTAAAGTAAAACAATATCAGTCTCTGCATTTTTTGGTGCAAAAGAACTCATCACAATCGCATTTTTGTAGAAAGTATATCAAACACTCTGAAATTTAGCTTTTTAAATTTCACATGTAAGCAATTGGTTATTTTCATATGTTCCAATGTTTTTCACACTTGTATTTTCTTTGCTTTGATTTGACCCTTCAATGTTTGGTACTAGGAAATTAATGAACTTTAATGGCTGATTACTTTGCCTAGTTTTCTTTTTTTTTTTGTTGAAATTCTTCTAGTTTTCAACTAATAAATTAGTAAAATAACTAATAAAAAAGTAAATAAATTAGTTTATTTTGAATCTTGTAAATAACTAGCAATAAGTTCAAGTACTTGCTTGTGGTTCGAATTTCAAGAAATTTAAATTCAATAAAAGTACTTAAAAATGTGACCATACCAAAACAAATAGAGTTTGTAGGGTACTTTATTCTGAACATGAAAATTGACTTAAAATGCCATACATAACTGATGCAGTAAATGAATATAATATACATACTAACTATATGTAATGATAAGGTGTCTGATTTCATTTGTGTAATTGCAGCATTGAGCTGTTTGTCAGTGTGATTCCTTATTTTTTTGGTTAGTCACCATTATGAATATTTCTTGATTGACTGATTATAAGGATTGTTTAATTGCTTAAACTGTTTAAAATTTATTCATTTATCAAAAAATTATACATTTGTTTGTACACAAATTATTATTTAAAAATACACTAAAAAGAATATTATAAGTTTGACCAAAAAAAGCTACACCAGATGAAAAAGGGCTAGACCTTTTATGCTGACAAATCAATGCAATTCCATTTCCAATGAGGGAATTTAAACAAACTACTGCATTTTATTTTTTAAAGATGCACAATGAAGTTGAATCAACTTTTTTAAAATTTATTTCTAACCTTTTTTGTAAAGAAACGTTCTTCACTTCCTTTGACTAACTTATGTTTAAGTTGCTTATTGTATCTATGAAAATAAAATCTATTACTTGCTAAGAAATTCTAAGGAACAAAAAAAGTGTATTTTTTTCATAATTTTGAACAGTTCAATCAGATTGTTTCTTTTTCTTTGCTCTTCTAAAGTTTTAAAATTTATTAATTAAAGCCTTTTCTCCTTAGTTAAATTTATAATATTTAAAATTTTTTGTGTTGAATGATTTCAAGAGTGGTAACGAGTTGTGACTTTAATCAGGCATTTGAGGTTGTCAATATTTAAGATCATTTATTGATGTAACAACGTTTTTTGTTTGCTGCAAACATTCATTATTTTAAACTTTTCTATATTAAGAGGCATATTCTAAATATTTAACCATTTAACTGTATCATTAATTTCATTTTGAAGATTTTTTAAATCATGTTTTAAATTAATTAGCCCAACAATTTTGCTGTCATCAGCAAATAATTTCATGTGATGAGCAATTTTATCAGGTAAGTCATTAATTAAAATTACAACAAGGAGTGAACTCATGACTCATGACAAGGTTTAGACCTTCAGGGGCACTGCTCATAACTTCACTCCATTTAGATGTATCTCATTAATTTGTACAGGATGTTGCCAATTAATAAGCCATGAATTAATCCAGTTGAATAGCTCTTCTCAAACTCCATAAGTTTCTAACTTGTGCATTAGTTGATTATTTGGAACCTTATTAAACAATTTAGCAAAATCTGTGTAAACTAAGTCGACTAAATGACACTGGTAAAAAGCTTCTGTCATTATGTCTCTAGTCACTAGCAAACACTTTGAGACAGTGTTTTATTACGTGATCATACAAAATTCACTCCATAATATTGCAAAGAACTGAAGTGAGTGACACTGGCCTGTAATCTGATGTCTTAAATTTGAAACCCTTTTTGAAAATTAGTGTAATGCTTGCTTTTCTCCAAAGCTCCAGTACAGATCCAGTTACAATTTATCCTTTATATATAAGTTTTATTGCAAATATCGATATCACTTATATTGTTAACAACATTAACTATGTTCTTTTAAGTTATTAATCTATGTAGGGGACTCATTTTAATATATGGACATAAAATACATTATTATATAACAAGAAGTCTTTTTATTTTTTGTTTTTTTCTCACTTTTAAAAAAAATCACCTTCAGCAGGCTTTTTATAAAGTCATATAGTTGAAAAAATTTAAATAATTTATTCATAGTAGTTTTTTTCAACTCTTATTAAAACTTTTTTTTATTAAAAACCAAATACCATAGAGCAAAAAAATCTATACAATTCAGCAAAAAATATTTTTTCAAACATTTTATCCTCATAACAACTAAAAATTCAAAAGTTCTTCAACTATATATTAAATTTAACTTTATCCATTTAAAATTAAATTATAAAAAGTAGTATTTTAAACCAAATGTTTAAAGAGCATGTTCAAATCAATATAAACATAATCAATCATGTATGTATGTATGTATGTATGTATGTATGTATGTATGTATGTATGTATGTATGTATGTATGTATGTATGTATGTATGTATGTATGTATGTATGTATGTATGTATGTATGTATGTATGTATGTATGTATGTATGTATGTATGTATGTATGTATGTATGTATTCCCTTACATACTCTAATTAGGCCTGACTTTTTTTGGAAGGTGAGGTTCATAAAAAATAAAAAGAATCTGAAATTTTAAGAAAATTGGACAATGTTTAGTGGTAGCAGATTTCAATTGAAATTTTAAGAATGACACAATTTTTCAAAATTTTTCTATAATTAGGAGAAACTTGTAATTATTAGGTCGCAACAACTAGAATGTTAATTGAAGTATTAAATTAATCAATGTTTTTCTTCCTATATATTAATCTTACAGAAAATTTGAAAATTATTTATTTTAATAAAATAAACAGTCAAACAGTTTTAACTTGTTGTTTGTGGCCATTTTACAGACACACTAATAGTATACAAAAATTAAAATATTCAAAAATTAGATAGGTAAAAATCGCTTAATCATAAGTCCAAGTTATTTCATACTAGAAACTATCCCTATCAAGTTTGAGAAAGATCTATATGGATCTAAGTTAACAACTGCTCATCAGGTGCTTTTATGTTTTCTTGCACACTTCAATACAAAAACTAAAAGAGAGGCTGCAAATAAAACAGTCAAATCAACTCTATTATTTTTTAATCTTCTACCATTTTGTAAATTCTAAGAATACAAACAATTGAATCAAACAAAATGGCAAAGGAAACCATGACATCATTTAATTAGTTAAAAAGCCTGCTTTAAATTGACCATACCTATAAAAACACATGTTTACAAAAAATCACAAGGTTTTGGCCATGAGATGTGTTAAATAAACTAGCTGAACTAAAATAAACTAAATAAAATAGTTTCTGATCAGCATGATGATTGAACAGAAACTGTGATCAAAGACATCTATGGGCTCAATTGATCTTGAACGTAGCCTTGTAGTAAAAAATCGTAACAGAAAAGTTGCTAAACAAGAAAGAATCAGTAAAAAAAAAAAAAAAAGAACATTCAAGTATCTTGAGATGCTTCAACAACTTTTTAAGAAAAACAGATAAAGTTGCTTGATCATCATGTAAATGATAAAGTTTGTCTTGATCATCATGTAAATGAACTTTGATGCTGTTATGAAGCATTCTCACAAAAAAAACCCGTGAAAAACAACACAGCTGTGTTTATACCACATAATAAAAAGTCTCCCAAAATTATTGAAATAACTTAATAATAAATTATCTTTTAACAGTGAAGTAAAAAGCTTTCCAAAAGGTTTCTATAAAAAGTCATTCAAATCTTTAGGTACAAAGTTAAAAAGTTATTTAGTAAGATATTTTTGTATTTTTTATTTTATGTTCAAAATTAAACTAACATAACAATCTTTTTTAATTTTAAACATGATTGCTCAGTTTGTTGCAGTTTGTTATATTCCATTGGGGCTAAGTACATCTATATCTTCAGCAGTTCCTACTAACGATTTAATTAGATTTAATTAAAGATCTTATTAATTCATTATTAGAGTATAATTTAACTGATTTAACTATTGCTAATACTACTTTGAAAGAATTTAGCAAACACATTTGGTGTCACATTGAGGAGTTGGCTCGCAGTCTCTTTTTAATGACAACTTATGCAAATTAAGAAAAAAGCACTTAAATCATTTAGATGGTATATTTAATTCTGACCGGATTGTCCATTTCTTCTAGTTTCGATTTAATAGATTTAATTTTTTATACTGTACACAGACTAGATTTTCTTATAATCATCAGCTTTTTTTTTTTAAATTTGAATTTACTTTATACTTATAAATTTAATGTTCAAATTTTTGATTTGACATATTGAATGTACAATATATATTTGAATTTCAATATATTATAACTAGTGTTAATAATAGTGTTTGCAGGGCTACAACAAATTTTAAATCATATTCATCATTTAAGAAAAAAATTATTATTTTAGATTTCACTGCCTAGCACACCCACGCTGAACCAGATTTTAGTTTTATGAAATGACATAGGGTTGTGTCATACCTTTTTGAAATTGTTAGAACCATACTATTAAGGGAAAGTTAGTAAAAAAAATCATAAAACTAATCTTTAAAAAATATTTGGGTTTATACTGGGGTCAAAACGGTTCCCGAACTTTGGCCCCCCTCTGGTTGATTATGAGACTAACCCGA